TCGTACTGTTCAGTTGTCTGTCCATCTGTGTACGATCGCTTGCGAGGGATTTGCCGGGAGGCACGTCCCGTGCCCCGCGATGGGAATAGGCATGTCACTGTGTATGTGTTTGTGTGTATGTATGTGTGTTTGTGTGTATGTGTGTGTCTGCGTGTATGTATGTGTGTGTATGTGTGTGTCTGCAGCAAGCGCGTGTATGTGTACCTATGGACGCGCGTGCGTGTGTTGTGTAGGGGGAACGGTAGTGTAGTGGTTAGCGTGCTGTCTGTGTCTGTGTGTGTGTGTCTGTGTGTGTGTGTCTGTGTGTGTGTCTGTGTGTGTGGTGTGTGGGGAGCGGTAGTGTAGTGGTTAGCGTGCTGTCTGTGTGTCTGTGTGTGTGTCTGTCTGTGTGTGTCTGCGTGTGTCTATGTGTGTGTCTGTGTGTGTGTCTGTGCGCGTGTGGTGTGTGAGGAGCGGTGGGTGTAGTGCTTAACGCTACGCTGCGCAACCAACCCGGCGAACCCAGTTCGATTCCCGCTCACGGCCACCACCGGTGACGATTATTTGAACCTCCCCTAGGTCGACTCTGCCTCAAACGAGTAACTGCTGTGGCGTATTAACATCGCCACTGGGGAGACAAAGGCGGCCGGCCGTGGTGGATACAAGTCCCGGGCGAAGCAGGGTAGTACAGCTAGTCTGTGTATAAGTATATAGGTCTCTGTGTAAGCCTTTTGGTTTCTGTGTGAGTCTATGGGTCTTTGTGTGTGTCTGTGGGTCTGTGTGTAACTATATAGGTCTCTGTGTGAGTCGTCGATGGGTCTTTGTGTGATGCAATGAGTCTTTATGTGTGTCTGTCCAAGGGTCTCCGTGTGCACCAAGCTTTTGAATCTCGGGGCATGAACGACTGAGAGCAAGACAATATAACAATCTAAATGACGTCTGTAGAGCGTATGTGTTCAAGGGATGAGCTGTTAACTTGTACATCCTACATTTCATCACATCTAAAAATATATGCAGGCTTGGGGCCTGGTTGGTATTTGTATTGTAGAAAGGACCTTCCTATAAACAAGTCTCGTGTCTCTGTATGGCTTTTATGGTCAGTTCAATGGAATTATTATGATCATTATTAACAGCAGTTAATGTGGCAGCGGTGATGAGCGATCAATGTGCTCAAAGAGGGGTGGTGCAGTTGAAATTCCCATTAATGATGACCACCACAACCATCATCATCATCATCATCCACAGACATGATCTACCCACTGCTGGATGAAGGCCCCCCCCCCCCTCCCAAGCAGGGGGGATGATGGGGGCTCGAAAATAAAAACTCAGGAAAATTGTAACTCCTCGATTGTACAGTTTCTGTGAGCATCAGAGGAAGCCTGCAGACGAGCGCTTGGGAAGGCAGCCAGAACTGGCCCCAAAACAATTGCCCAAGCTCTGTGATCCTACATTCGGGATGTTTGGCTAACTCCGCAGGCAAGGTGTGGCAAGTGACGGGCTCAGGCGGCGAGCGGAATCTGCATTGTATCTCCCGATTTAGCACGGCGTGGCTAGGTACGGTGCGAAAGAAGTTCAAACATCGTACATAGCACGCCATCCATCGCCTCCCCTGTTTCACACAAACCCGTTAAGAGCCCCAAAACGTACGAGACCCCGGGCTGCATGACGACCAGCGACGACGCTTTCCTGGCACTCGCTTTGTGACAAGGACGCGCTGGACAGCCGCACTCGGCTGGTATTGAACTCAGGACGAATCAACTAAATGGTGGGTGTAACGCGCGCGCGTGTGCTCGTGTGTGTGCTGTGCGCGTGTGTGTGTGCGTATGTGTGTGTGCGTGCGCGTGTGTGCGTGCGTGTGTGTGCGTGCGCGTGTGTGTGTTACGTTTCGTAAGTTGTCCTTTTAGTCGTTTCTGTTTTTCGGCGGCCTAATTCCTTCGTAACTTAACGGCAAAACGAGGCGGCATTGGGAAATGTAAGAAAAAGTGCGAAAAAAATGTGTATACGTGACGTGAAAAGTCGGGTGTACGAACCAAACTCGTCGAGGTTCGCCACGACAAAAGTCAACCAATGAGGCGTTCCCCAATTCGAGTACCCAGCACGGACGTTTCATAAGTGGCACTGCCGTTTGCAGGGTGGTGGAACGGCAGTGCGGATAATAAATTCCCGCTTACTGACTTGACAATGACAAAATGATTAATATTTTACTTCAGGAGTCGCTGGTGAAATCTATCCAAAAGATATTTTTTGCAGTTTTTCGTAAGTTCACGGTAAAAGCGTTTAGTTCGGATACCAGTTTTAAATTCGACAACTTTTGCGATCGTTAAACGTATTTTTTTTGTTTCGCTTATTCAATCCACCGCAGAATATTAACGCGTTGCCGACAAATGAACACGACTCACAGTAACGGGAAAAAACATGTCAGAGTCTTATTTTTTTTGTCGAAAACATTCGCTCTGCCGAAACTCTGCTTTGGAAACAAACACAGCGCCCACTGGGATTTGGTTTAAAAAGAAAAACACTTTATATATCTCATACTTATCAACGTGTACGTGTTGTCAACACAGTAAGGCGCTGGGTTGGGGTCATTGGGTTCACGACGATCAAGCATTTTCTCTCTCTCCGCCACACTTTTTGTCCACGGTCAACATTTTCCACGTGGGCTGAAGGCCGTCTGTCTCGCTTGCCTCCCTGCACACCGCCAAACACTGGGTTCGAATGCCAGAATCGTTCGCTGTTAAAGTAAGAGCTTAGCTTCATCACAATGAAGAGCGTCGCGGAGTTGATATTAATGTAATAATTTACAGCCCTCTGCCATTCCACTGCTGGATGAAGGCCTCCCCACGATGGCACGTCGGTCACAGGGGCTGGTTGACCATACCCTCACGCCGATCACTGACAGCGGCTGACGACGAAGAGGGGGAGGGGGGGTTGCTGTGCTAGAACTCAGCACCGGTTCAGATATTGCTCGCCGCCGATTATTATTATTACCAGCCATGGCCCGGAATCGAACTTGGGTGAGCAGCCTTTCTCGCGCGGTGTGATAGCCACTGCACCACTGCTCCACCCTCAACCAATAGGGATTCGTGGTTTTCAGAAACATTTACTTACTTTTGCAAACGACCTTTGCACCTGCGAGTGCAGAATGTGGCGATGCACCTAATTGTGATAGTTTCCCAGTACAGTATGTATCCCTTGTCAAAGGCAATCCATGTTATCCATGGGATGTCTACTGGTGGTAGAGTGAATTGCTCGGCACTAGAATTGACGATATGTTCCTGTGGTGCAGCGGTCGGCAACCAGAAGTAAATCACGAAAGCCGATTTTTGTTGTTGTTGTTGTTTTCGAATTCGGTACAAAGCTTAATGCTTCAAGAGCCGCGATCGCGCGCGAATACGCACGCTGAAGTGCGACTCGAGTTCACGTGTCTCCCTAGCACGAGAGAGCATTCACTTCAATGGGTTCCTCTCACCCGCCCGCATGAGAGATGATCGAAATTGAATCGGGAGGGCTTCATGAATGCATTGCCTCTCGTCTGGTTTTAAATGAGGGGGCTTTAGCCGTGCGACTCAAATTTGGGATTGTACGCATCGCAATGACATCGAGGTTGGTGACCCAGCATTTATTAAGTGAACGGCAGAGACGAGGAGTGAAAGCCGTGGATGGAGTCTTAATCACGCCCTACCCTGTAAACACGAAGCTTTCTCCACCCTCCCCCCCCCCCACACTGAAAACGAACTTGAATAATTGAATACGCAATTATTTACCGTCAAACGGCAAAACCATTTTATAACGACTCCTTTGTTCTCTTCTAGCATAGTAAGCCGCAATAATTGCTAAGAGGTTAACTTTAAACATTACTCGGACGTTTAACAGACACATTTTAATTAAGCGTGAGTTTATGACCTGTATGCCACAATAGCTTGAGTAAACGGTTATCTAAAAATACTTCAACATTCACGACATTTGAATTCCACCCAACTGATGTCAACAGTGTTTGTCAGTTACAATACGCAGCGGTACAACTACAGTTGTAAACACACACACGTGATCATTTGTTTGGCATATTAATAATATTTCCACGCAACTTTTCTTGCTATTGTTGTTATTGTTATAGGTATTTGTGTGTGTGTGTGTTTTCCTTGATGGCCATGGCGAGATCAGAATCAGACTATTTATTTGTACTGGAGGTATCCGACAAGCTAGAAATCTCATTTTCCCAGGCGTCTATTTAATACGACAGCATCGCCACACGCACTGGACCGGTGTCGTTTTCCAGAGTTGAGATTTATTCAAACGGCAAGAGGTTAACGTCAAAGGAGGGTTTTAAACTATTACATCATTGGCACTCGTTTGATGAGTCACATCGAAAACACACGCCACATCCCCCAGCACGAGAGGCGAAGAAGCGAAAACGAGAGGAGGAAAAGGAACGAAACGCGGTCTTCGTTAGCAGCTTGTGCGATGCAAAATAAAACTACGGCACGTGACCAAAAAAAAAACTTTATTGCGGACGATCGGGTGATTTGTTTCGGGAGCACATCTACCCAGAGATGTTTCTACATCCTACTAAAGCGAGCAATGAGCGCAGAGATGATTCGATCGACGAAGGAGCTCGAGTCGGCCGCTCGCTCGGATTTTTTTTATCAAGTTAAATTATTGTTTTTTTCTTCTTTTTCTGCCACCGGAGAAACCCACTGCTGCGAAATATGACGCCGCTCTAAAAAACAAATGACCATCTTCTTGGTTCTTTCGGTAAAGTCACGTAGATGGGAAATAATAAAAATAAAACATAATAAAATTCTCACGACGTTTCGGCCACAACGCAAGCAGCCGTCCTCAGGTGAAGAACAGGTCTGTCAGACGCTGTCTTCACGACCTCAGGTGAAGAACAGGTCTGTCAGACGCTGTCTTCACGACTGACCTGTTCTTCACCTGAGGACGGCTGCTTGCATTGTGGTAGAAACGTCATGAGAATTATAATTTTTTTATTTTTTATTTTATTTTATTATTTCCCTTCTACGTGACTTTACCGAAAGAACCAAGAAGATGAATCCCTGCAGTCACGAAAGCTTTAAATCGAAATACAAATTACCAGTGAAGCGCTGGGCAACCCCCCCCCCCCACGCCCGTAACCTCGTGCGACGAGCACGTTCATATTAGGTAGAAAACAAACACGAAATAATAACACTCACGCGAGACTTACACACACACACACGAGTGCCACGTCTCTCACCGCCAGTAAACTCTGCACGAATGCTCTTCAAACAATTGTGCATTTCTTTTGTGTTTCTCTGGTGAATCTTTCTACCGCCAGACCAGCCAGACACGGGCACGCAGCCTTACTTATTCAAGGACCAGTCGTACGAGCCAAATTGTCTCATACCCCCCCCCCCTCATTCCCCCCTTGCCCCCGAGACTCAAAAACGCTCCAGAAACGGCAGCCTTGACCCCCAGTCCGTGCAGCAGGTGAATGACTCCAGGTCACGATCGGTACAGACCAATACAAAGGATGCAAAGGTTTACAAAATACATCCGCTGTAAGAGCATTACAGGGCATAACAGATAGCCATTGAACATTAAAGTCAAGTCTTTAATGTATCCGTAATTGTATATGTCTACGTTGTAATATAATATTAATAATAAATATTAAGAATAGTAAGACTTTAGTTATTTTTATCAAGGTGTGCAGTAACACGGTCGGACAGGTTACGAATATATTTTGCGGACTAATAAATGTCTATTGAAAACTACTGCATAATTAGCTAAAACCATACGTGTTCGTCTTATAATATAATCTCTTACAAAACATCGCACAAGTTGGAAAAGCGTGACTGATGCTCTCGCAAAAACACAACCGGACGTACCGTAATAAACGTATACTTGCGATGCGTGTGCACGAGTGCGCGTGACCCGGGCGTATGTCCGCTTAACGCCCAATCGGTTAACGGCAATGAATTACTTTTTTTTTGTCAAAATATACTTTCAAATAAACGGTTCATAATATTGCAAATGAGTCCTTCTGAAGGATGGAAGATAAACGTATTGTTTATTAAAGCATAATTCGAATCTCAAACAAAGAAAAACAACCTTTAACGCGCCACGTATCGAAACGATAAAGCCAACTTTAGAAACAAACGAAGGAAAAGACACCTTAAGGTCTTCTTGGTTCTTTCGGTAAAGTCACGTAGAAGGGAAATAATAAAATAATAATAAAATAATTAAAATAAAACATTATTTTCATTACTTTATTACTTCCCTTCTACGTGACTTTACAGAAAGAACCAAGAAGATGAATCCCTGCAGTCACGAAAGCTTTAAATCGAAATTACACCTTAAGGTTTTCAAGAAAAAACGTATCGTAGAATATTTGTTTATTCTCGAGGAATCCGATAAGCTATGAAGCTCTTTTCCACAGACACTCCAGGACCGATTGGGAAAAGCTGAGTCGAATGCGGCTCCCAACGTGCAACACACACGAGTTTGGCAATGTGGTGACGAACTTTGATACATTGCACATCCCCCTGCCACTCCTCCCCACATCAGCCCGCCCGCCCGTCCGCCCTGAACCCTACGAAAAATATCCACGCGCAGAAACCCCCATCCCCAACCCCCACACACTCCCGCCTCCGCCGACGAGCTCACGATACGAACGTGCCAAGCGGGAACGCGTACTACGTTAACCTTTGCGACGCAGGTTAACAAGCTCGGCGTTGCCGCTCGGCACGATTGTATCTCCGCACGGACTGCCACTCTGCAAATCCCCCCCCCCCTGCACCTTTACCCCGAGCCCGTCCGTTTCGCATCTTTGCCATGTGTTGTTGTAGTTTTGTTTTAGATTTTGTTGTTGTAAATATTCGATTACCGCCGGCGCGTCCCCTCTCTCCCCGGGGGGGGGGGGGGGGAGGTTGCAGGTGCTTGGACGTCCACGCGGGCTGGGATTGTCTCCGTGCACACGAGCGCTTGCGGTCACCGCCGATGTTTGCGCGCTCCGCGAGAGCGAGCGGGCGGGCGAGCGTTCGGAGTGACTCTCTCTCGACCCCCCGACCGTCTCCTGGGCGGAACGGCGACCGCGGCTCCTCGCCGCTCGCCGCGTTGCCTCACAGTTGGTACCACTTCTTGTCTTTCGTCTTCAGCATCATCTGCACATTGACAAAAGGCAGGCACATTCGTTGTAGTATCAAAAAATTCGTTATTTTCATCGTAATTATAATAATCGTATTTTCATCAATTTGATCCCCGATCGTGCTACACATCAATTGCAGGGCCTGGGCCTTTGCCCGTGTAAGGACGGCAAAACAATGCCAAGCCCCTTTGCGTTCGAGAATGGCCCGTGTGTTAAATTGGCCACCACAGAGCTACCTCCGGAGAGGCCTCCAACTTTCAGAGCTTCACATTTTTATTTTGTTGAACCACGTGAGACATCAAGAAGCCTAGCAGAGTCTCATTTGCAAGAGCGACCTGGGGCTTGGTGTGTGTTGAACGTCAACATGTTTTTCACCGTGCTGCAGCCTACCGTGCTAATCGGATGTGCGGGGAGAGGAAGCACAACAAACTAAACACACAAAACGCTGTTACAAAGAAGTCTGCCGGTCAGGGGGCAATTATTGATATATACAATCCCAATTAAGTAATTTAATTTGTGACCTCTAGTCCATGCAGTAGAGGACAAAACCTTCGCCACCCACTCTGCATGCGAGGGGGAAGGTGCCATGGTACATGACAGTCAGACTGATATTTTAATTCCCAGAGCAGAAATGTATCCAAAATTAAGTACAAAACCAAAGGTTAATGCGATGGGTTTTTGTTGTTGTTGTTGTTTGTGTGCAGTCATTCTCAGTCGTTTGGATATTGTTAATTCAGGGAGCAGGAATTCAGCAAAATTAATGGCAGACATGTTTTATGCTTGCATGTTGAACTTCTTTCGCACCGTACGTAGCTAAGCATACTAATATCGGAAGGGAGGGCATTCCAGGCGGCCGCAAAGGCGCATCTGAAAGCGCACCATGCGGTGACCATCTTTGTTAATGGTTAACCAAAAAACTGCTGGACGTCGCGGCTCGCGGCGTTCGCTCCGTTTACAAAGTTGGTGACCAAAAATGTCACCGAACTAAACTATCTTCTTGGTTCTTTCGGTAAAGTCACGTAGAAGGGAAATAATAGAGTAATGAAAATAAAACATAATAAAAGTTTATTATTTATGTTATTTTATTATTTCCCTTCTACGTGACTTTACCGAAAGAACCAAGAAGATGAATCCCTGCAGTCACGAGGATGACCGGAGTTTGCGTGATGATTCATGCCCCTGGATGAAATCGGCAAAGGTATTGTTGCTTCCTTTGTGGCAAGCACTTTGCGTGTAATGAGTGCAACCTTGCTGATTTAATGTGGCAATTATTTTTCGGTTTTTTTTTACGTGCGCGGTCACGAGTAGCCAGACTGAGACCATCAACTCACGATGCTTGAGATCCCGAATCAATCTCAGACGGCGGCTGAAACCTGGATTTGAACCCAGCATCTCAGTCGTGCCGGCTGAGCGTCTCTGGCCTCTGACCTCTGAGCTACTCGGGGACTTCTTCGTTTCACCCTGCTAAAGCGTGGCTCATTCGTGTTCTGACAGTTACCAGATCTTGAGAATGAAAATTGGAAATGTAATATGTTTTAGTAATTTTTTATTTAATACGACGTGAATCATTGATTTTTTTTTCGTATTAAATGAGTCACACTGTCACCTCACACGAACACAGGCACCCACAAATGAGTTGTCATGATTCAGGGTTGCAAATTCATTTTCATTGCGGCTTTTTTTTCCCCACTGCCAAGTCGTATTCTTTGTCATTTGTATGGCCTTGTGAATCACCACCGTTCGCTTCTGTGCAACATTTGCGTACAATTCACACAAAAGGGAAAATGCAACACGAGTGTTGTATTCATAATTATCGATTCAACCAGTCAGTTCTTTTCGGGATGAGGGCCACCGAGCTAAGATTATTTTTGTTATGGCGACCCTGCCAAAGGTGACAAGCAAGTCACATGGCAAGGGAGCGTTTCTCAGGGGCTGCTGTAGAACGGCTGACACGGTGGTAGCGGGCAAGTCACATGGGGAGGTAGGATTGTGATGTTCGTCCATTATTTTCACTTTTGTCATGTGACACCATTGTTTTTGATCCGGTCTCTATTCGCTTCATTTCCGTACTTTATTTTACTTCTTTTTAACTCTCACGTCATAATGGTGACCCCAGGTCTCTCTCGCTTGCTCATCCTGGCCGCGTGACTTCTCACCTATAAACTTGAAACTTGATTTATCATCATAATCATCATCATCATCGTTAAAACGACTGTCTTTATTGTTAACATCATCATGATCTCTCATCCTTTCTGTCACCATTATCATTGCCGTTAGCATCACCATCATTGTTCTTCAGCGTCGTTAAGCCGTCTGGCTTGGGTTGGCACCTCCTCAACTACACCGCGTGGTACCGCCCTTGCCACTCGCTAGAGGTTCATGGCTCAAATATTTTTTTTTGCCGGTATCAAAATGATGAAGAAAAGAAATAAAAAACAAGAAGAGGGCTTTACCTTTTTACCCTTTCTGGCAATATAAAACATGTGTTAAGATGTTCAAACACCAAACTGATATACCTACTTAACGACGCACGCCTGTAGCAAAATGCACGCAAACACACATTCTCTGATCTTCTATGCAATAGTCTTTGAAACTGATGCAAGTGTCAAAAGTATTAAGAGCAACCCGAGCTATTAACAATTTGATACCTTCATTGCTTTTGTACCGTGCACCTTTTGCTGTTCTTCTCTGGCCTAACACTCGTGGTGAGACTAGGCCATACACACGTAGGCTGTCTCTGCTGGAGGCCAATCAGTTCCAAAGACAATGCATGGACTATTATGATGTACTGTTAACACGTATTATTATCATGTATTATCATGTATTATTATCACGTATTTTTATCACGTATCATCATCACGTACTATTATCACGTATTGCCATCGTGTATTTTTAATCACGCATTACCATCATGTATAATTATCAGAGCACAAAGGGTTAAAATGTCATTGCCGATACCCCCCCGCCCGCCCGCCCGCCTGCCCAAAAAAGTTCAACTAAAATAAATATGCCCGAGATGAGCTGCGTGTTGGCGAGCGACTGATGTCTCATCCGCCCATCGTGGAGCCCCGCGGCGCTCCCCACACTCCGTAGCACCACTCGGTCGGCGCGGGGGGGGGGGCTGTTGGTGAGTGAGTTCGAGTGCCGCGAGCGATTAGGTGAAATGTGCTCCTGGCAGCGGCTCTCGCCCCCCACAATCACGCCCAACCCACCACCCACCGGGAAGGTCACGGCAGGCGGGAAGGGAAGGCAGAGGAGTGGAGGAGGAGACTGAATGTCTCTGAGTGTGGGAGAGACGAGTGGAGAGGGGTAATCCCACTTCAACGGCTCGCTCGGCCAGGTGGGAGCGTGTCGATGCCGCGACCGGGGCTGGGCCGACGGGGCAACGGAGTTGCGGCGCTGTGCGGGTTTGTGTGGTGGATGTGCAGAGTAGTGCGGTGCAGGCTGGAGCAACGCAGTGCGGACTGGCGCAAGGCGGTGGGCAGTGCGATGCACAGTGGAGGCCGCCGTGCGCGTGATGGTGGTGGTGGTGGCGGTGGTGGCGCCGTCACCTCGTGCGCGTGCTTGCTGAAGTTCTCCGCGCCGGAGAGCATCGCCGCCGTGCGGTCCTCCAGGTCGCCGAGCCGCTGCCCGCGCTCGTCCAGCGCCACGCGCGCCCGCGACATCTCGGCCGCAACTCCGCCCGCCGCGGCCTTTACTCCCTCGGAGCCGGAGCCGTGGCCCGGGATGTGCTGCGCGAGGCTGCGCGACGCCCTGCCCGATCCGGTCTCGCCGACTTTTTGTCACCGAGAACAACAACAACGGCACGCCGCACCGGTTCGGGCACGAGGAGGGCGGGCGTCGCGGCTCGCGGCGTTCGCTCCGTTTACGAAGTTGGTGACCAAAAGTGTCACCGAACTAAACTATCTTCTTGGTTCTTTCGGTAAAGTCACATAGAAGGGAAATAATAAAATAATAAAAATAAAACATAATAAACATTTATTATATATTTTATTTTATTATTTCCCTTCTACGTGACTTTACCGAAAGAACCAAGAAGATGAATCCCTGCAGTCACGAAAGCTTTAAATAGAACTAAACTATGTTTTATTTACCAGGTAAGGCTGTGTAGCTCTTTATCAGAAGTGACCTGGCCGCAAATGACGGCTCAATGAAGTGGCTTATCACGTACGAATTTATATCAGCCAAATAATTTAAACGCGTGTTTCTAAATGTTGGAGGGAAAATAATCGAAGGAACCAGAGAAAAATCCACACTACGACGGGGAGAACACGCAAACTCCAAATATACAGGCGTCAGGATCGAACCCACGACACCAGGCGAGGGAGATTACATCTCGCCACCGCAGCGCTATGTAAAGTTCAAAGCAGCAACACCGGTACGAGAGCTCGGTTACAAAATCAATTCCCACCGCTGCCGCCCGAACACGGACGATGCCAATTCCGGGACTGTCCTCGTCAAACACGGACAGTTGGTGAACCGTCACCGGAAGGCACGGCCGGGCGGATCGGGGGGATAAATCTGTCCAGCGGCAAAAGCTGACGAATCCCCGCCGCTGAAAACATTCCCGTATTTATTTTCGCCGACGTCACGGCGCGGAGGCTCGCGTCCGCCGGACAGCGACGGGGCCACTCACAGAGCTCTTCCCTGTCGAGCGAGGGGCTGTTTCCGCCGAAGAGCCCCTTGAAGAAGCCTTTGTTGGGAGCCTCCGGGGTCTGCACCGGGATGAACAGCTCCCCCAGCATGTCCTGTGGCAGACAACGATCCACGGCGCTCGCTCAGCCACGTGTTGCGGGGGGGGGGGGGGTCATCGCGCGCGGGGTGCCGTGTGTGATCGGCGCGCCGACCGGCGGTGGAGGTGATGGGGGACACGCCACGGCAGGGCCGCTCTTCGTTCCGCACTGCCTCCCGCGAGGAGCCGTTCTTTCTTTGCGTCAGGGATGGGTGGGGGAGGGCGGGGGGGGGAATCTATGGACCTACGGCCCTTGGGTCCAGTCAATTTACAAGTCCCGCGACTCCAGTTTCCAACGGCCGCACCAAGGGAGATGACAGGGTTTGGAACGCTACAAAGATGGAGAGGGAAGGGAGAATGCAAAGTGGAGAACGAGCAAATACATGATGTGGAAAGAGAGGCAGTCACCTGCAGAGAAAGAGAGAAAAGTGTTGAGTTTGGACTTGCAGAATAAATAAAAAGCTTCATTATATAACATCTCTCCAGTTACTCCAAATCAAGGCTGGATACGGCCCACGACTTCACTTCAGAATAAGAGTCAGAATCGTTATTTATACTGGAGGAATCCAATGAGCTACAAATGATAGCTCCGCGTGGAAATTCATCGAAAGCCAAATACTCTAAACGCGTGCTAATGTTGATTCTAAATGTGGAGGGAAAAACCGGAGGACCCCGAGAAAAATCCACGCGACCAGAGAGAGACACGCAAACTCCAAATATACAGCAGCAGGCGTCAGGATTTGGGATTGAACCCACGTCCTCCTGTAGATCAGGCGAGGTAGTTAACATCTCGCCGCACCCTGCTTTACGTGAGCACATTAGACTCATTTGATTTATAAATTTATTAATTTTCTCACAGCCTGTCCAGAAATTGCCAATACTCTGTCCTTTAAATGTATGAAACAATTCAGTTCCTCTATGATTCAATATATTGTCAGGATTCGGGCATTAACATTCAATTCGAGAATCTATAAATATGTAAAAAAAAGTTGGTCTTATTTGTAAACGCGTCGATAATTTTTTACAATATTTTTTTTTTCCTCTGGCAGCAGCAGCTGCTGACGGAGTTTGGCCCAATTCATTATCGAGCAAATGTCCGTGCGTGGAAGGAGACTTGAGTTCCCGGTTGGGAATACCCACGCACGGGAGTAAAACAAGTCACCGGGAGAGAAAACAAAACACACCTAGAAGAAGAGCGGACCTTCGGAGCACTGTGACCTTTACGACAAATCGTCGCATCGCTTCCCTTATGTCTACACGACTTTCAGACCGCGCAAGAGAAGGGTGGGGGGGGAGCCCTTCCGATACGATGCGAGAGTAGCCCGGTCAGCGTCACATCGACTGCTAAGCACGACGCCCGCAATGGGGTTCTCTAGCTCGCGTATCGATTCACGCTTTCCGCCTATTTGTTTACTGACTCGCTTATTCCCCCGGCAGTGAAACCGACGGGTGGAAAAGTGCGGTCGGCCCGACCGAATCACCCGAGACAAATTACACAACGGGACGGCCGCCCTCGAGCCCGACGTGCGGCGAGCTCATTTGGACCGTCTGAGTGGCTCCGTGTCCACGAGCACTGGCGAGAGCTACGGGGGGGGGGGGGGGGGGGGGGGGTGCTTCTGCTGATACTGGCTAAGAACTGGCCCAGAATGAACACCGGGGGACCGAGGTCTGCGTCCCACCTCGCTCCGTGAGCCCCACTCTGTGTGTGTGCTTGGTCCCCTCTGCTCTGCCCCAGCCGCCATCCCCGTCCTCCGCGACCCACAAGGAAGGGGGTCATGGAGTGATCGTATTCCTTATTTTTTCCTATTAATTTTTTTTAACCGGGTTAAGTGCCCAACCGAGCTATGTGGCTCTTTTTTTCAGAAGCGACCTGGCGATCGCAAATGACGGCTCGATGGAGTGCCGTGTCATCACGTGGAAATGTACAGCAGCAGCCAAATACTCTTAAACACGTGATGTTGATTATAAATGGGGAGGGAAACAACCGGAAGGCCCGGAGAATAATCCATGCGTCCACGGTGAAAGAGACACGCAAACTCCAAATATACAGCAGCAGGCATGAGGGTCGGGATAGAAGCTACGACTTCCTGCATACCAGGTGAGGAAGTTAACATAGAGCAGTGGTTCTCAAAGTGTGGTTCCCGGACAACACTCACCTGTAATCTCTACTCACATCACCAGACCCTCGCCTGGAACCTCTCACATCACCAGACCCTCACCTGTAAAGCCTCTCTCACACCTCCAGGCGCTCACCTGTAAACTCTCGCACATCTCCAAACCCTCACCTGTAATCTCTCACTCACATCACCAGACCCTCACCTGTAATCTCTACTCAGACCTCCAGGCGCTCACCTGTAAACTCTCGCACATCTCCTGGCTGTAGGTGAGTCGCTGGATCTCCGTGGGCGAGCACAGGTACAGGGCCTGGCCGCTGTTGGAGAAGCAGAACGTGCGAGCCGCTCGCAGGTCGGCGAGCGGCAGGAAGTTCACGTCCAGCAGGGGACGCAGGCTGGGGAGGCTGCACAAAGACAAAGATCCCCCGTATAGCATTAACAGACTGTTGTGGCAAGTGCTGTTTGCAAGAAGCACCTCCGAAAGCCGGCATGACACACTCGGGGTAGGTGGCCAGCACTATACCCGGCCGCCTTTGTCTTCACAGTGGCGATGTTTACATACCACACCGTGTACTCATTTGAGGCTGACTCGAGATAGGGGAGGCCCAGGACCGGTTCAGATAATCGTCACCGGTGTCGGCCATGAACGGGAATTGAACTCGGGCAGCCGGGTTCGTAGTGCAACGCTACCGCTCCCCACATGTGCACGGTGTGCAAAGTGTACGGCCAAGCGCTCGCTGAGCGCGCTGTGCGTTCTCGCTGCAACGCACGCTCTGCCATTTATGGGAACAACTTGGAACATGCGCAACGAACTAAACCGTCACGCAAAACTCCGATCATCCTCGCAGCGGCGGCTTTTGGCTGGTCACCGAACAGAGATCGTGACCGCATCGCGCGGCTTTCAGATGCACTCATGCGGCCGTTTGAAACTCTCTTCCTTCCGACATTAGGAAGCCACTGGAGCTACAGTATGCACTTTTAAATTATCTAGATTGAACACTCATTTCTTTAGGACAGATTTTTGTCTTTAGTTTGCCGTCCTTCCCCAGCACCTGCGATTAGCGTTGGGCTAAGTACAGTGTTCGATGGCGAGCCAAAATCCGCTGCCGCTGTGATGAGTATAACTGGAGTTCCGCGTGATGGTTTATGCCGAATCGAAGGAAATTTTGGCCAAGTGTTGTAACATGGATGCAGAATAGCAGTGGGCCCCAGAACAGAACCATGAGGGACACAATGAGAGACATCGCCAAAGTCAGAATTACAATTTCCCAGAGTCACGAATTGATTCCGATTATGTAAGTAGTTACCGGAGCCACTCGACTGCCAGTGCCGTCATGCCAACGTTGCTTTCTAGGCAATTTAAACACGATTAAGTAATCAACCATGACAAATGATGCGCTAAAGTCAAAGAGGGCGGAAGCAAGCATTTGATGGTTCAATTGAGTGAATTATGGAGCAAGCATTGAATAGACTGGGTGAGCGAATCATGGAGCAATCGTTTGAAGGAATGAGTGCACAAATGATGGCGCTACAGGACAGCGCTGAGCGTGTCGCGGGGCGAGCGAGCACTCGCGACAACCGGCACCTGAAGATGATGATGTGGCCATTGGCGCAGAAGCTGGCAAGGCACGCGCTGGCGCCGATGGCGACGGCGTCGGCGCGCAGCACGAACGACGTCTCCGTGATGTTGTGCTTGTAGACGCAGCTGTGCGACGGAAGCGCCACCACCTTGGCCTGCTTCTCGGAGCACGCCACCACGTATTGGGTGGCGGCTCCCAGCTCCTGCGCCGACGCCGACGGCGTCACCGACTGGGGCCTGCGGCGCCGCGCCCGCTCGCCCCGCTCGTCCCGCTCGTCGCTGTTCGAGTTGGTGTCGCGCCACGCCTCGTGCGGCCGCCTCGCCAGCGCCCCGCCGCAGTCGAGGAAGTCCACGCGCAGGACGGGGCCCTTGAGCAGCGTCACGGTGCCTGGCGAGAGGTGGAAATTAAGTGTGAACGTGGGGTAAACGGTCCTCCTCCTCCCCCGTGACAACGTCGGCACTGGCTACCCCCCCCCCCACCCCCCACAGCAGTGAAGACCAGCAGTTGTCTTGTGAGGACCGGCAGTGGTCTTTATTGCAAGGCCCGTGGGGGGCCGTTGGCAGGCCCCTGGTGGCCTTGAGTGCGACTCCCCAACAATACGCGAATGTGAAACCACCCCATCATCGTCATCGTGCTGCTGTCAACCCCCCCCCCCCCCAATGGTTTCGAATGTGTGGCGGCACCCTCACGCTGGTGATGTCTAATCAGCGGATGTTGCCACCCCTCTGAAAATCAGCGCTGACGTCAATCCCTGCATCGAGTTGACCGGGAGTGACCCCAAGGTATTGAGAGAGGGCGACCGGTGGCTGGAGATGAGACAGGGATGAAGGGCGAGGGGATGAGAGGGGGGGCCGTGGGGGTAGGAGGGGACGTTGGCAGGAGGAGTTACGGGAGCAGAGAGCTGTGGATGAAGAAGGGAGCTGTGTGTAACGCAGACGGTGGAAATGAAGGCCTGCAATGCGTACCTGTCTCCACGTGTTGGTGAGGAGCATGTCTGCTACACTTGTGAAGACTTGGCGAGTGCAATTTTATGCAAGTTTCGTCTGGTCTGGTGAGACTTTGCAACGCTTCTTCTCGCCTCGCCTTGCGTGTTGTTTGTATGTCAAAATGGCAAGTTTGACAGCGGTTGCGTGCAACCAAGGTGCGCGACTGATTGTGCAGACGTGGACTGACCCTTTATGCCTCGTGGCAAAACAAACTGCACACGCGTGTGTGTGTGTGCTTGTGCGTGATCAGAGGTGGATTTTATAAACTTCCGAAACTGAAAGCTTTTTTTAATAGGGGGCCCACATTATTTTAAAAACAACAGTCCCATTTATTTTCCCTGGTTAGTTTTTCATGGTTGTCATAGGATTGGGGGAAGGGGAAATCCCACCCACCGCTGCCCCCCCCCCCCCCACCGCTGCCCCCCCCCCCCCACCACTGCTCCGAAAGAGGTGAGCGAGGGTTCAATAGGTCACGGATATAGGTCGTCGGTACGAGCCCCCGCCTAATGCTCTGAAGGCAAAGAGTGCAAACGTGAAATCGATTCTCTGCCTCGCAGCCAAGTGTAAGGAGGTCAGGACCGGGGGATTGTGTGTTCAGAAGTAGCAGCAGTTCTCAACAGAGCCGCGACATTCTCAACACATCATCACTGGTCAAAGTCCCTTGCCGGCAGACCTGACGGGAGGCCATTACAATAGCCGGCCCTCGGGAAGATGAACGTATGGATTAACGCTTCTGTGCCGCCCACCGATGGCGAGGAAAACGCACCGCTCGGCGAGATGATGACCGGCTGGCTGAGCCGCTGCTCGCTGGATGGCGGCAGGCTGAGGCCCACGGACAGGACGGTGCCCAGGCTGGTGCCGACCCAGAGGCACGGGCACGTGGAGCCGTCGCCCTTGCGCGCGAAGCTCTCCGAGAAGCGCAGGGCCGTCACGGACTCGCGCGACTCCTTGTCGATGCTGCACACGCTGGAGCTTCGCGATTGGCCCAGCGAGTTGTCACGCGTCTCTGTGCGACGGGCACACAGAGGTGGGGGACCGCTTGATCTCCTGTCGCCTCCTGCCGTGTGTCTCCCTCGCCGTGCGCCCCATCGCGCTTTCGTTCCTTAAGCCTTCTTGCTCACTGGGAATCAACTCCCATTGCGCGTAAAGTAATCACACTGGTCAACAAAAAAATCTTTTTTTTTTCTGGCCTGGACTTTTGCAGCTGTTTTAGACTGATTTCAGGGTGCTGATTCCAAATCTGATCTCAGATTTGCTCTATCCCGTCTCGTTTTTATGCTATCGGCATACCCCATTTTCATTGATTTTACCCGAAATTAACTCTGTCACTTATGATTGCAAGTTGTTGCGAGTCAGTGACTGCTTTAGTGTTAATATATGGTGCTGTATTCTTAGGATAGTGTGTTTATAATATCATTGTATGTAGATATCCACATTTATTTAATATTTTTCTTCTGCAGTTTTTATTGAAAATGCAATATTTGATATCTCAAAAACCTGATGTGATAGACAAAAACTAATGCTAGATTTGGAATCAGCACCCCAAAATTACCTTAAAACCGTTGGAATACCTTATGCCAGAAAAAGTGTGTTGACCAGTGTCATCTTCACAACAACAACCTGCCTCTGTTCCTCACCTTACAACCGCCATATATTCTCCCCCAGCACATCCTAGCCCTACTTATCCTGCCTTCCCCCATCTCCAGGTACGACGAGGCGTACCCCAATCCCTATCACTACCCCGATCACGACCCCTACCTCTCCCTAACCTCTCCTGCCTGTTCTCCTCTTACCATGACTACACCGCCACTTCAAATAACAACCCCCACTCTTTATCTCAACCGCTGTCATCTTGTGCACCATTTTTTTTTACAATTTATGTAAAGAGCATTGGTGTAGGGCGCTCATGTGAATCTGTATACGATGATGAGGATGTCGCGGACTCGCATCACTCGCTCACTGCGATGATTCACTACGTCGTCGAGTGGAAAAAGCGTGTCCTCGAAATAACGTGGCTTGCGCGGGCGGCTTCGTGGGTGAATTATTTTTAGCGTTCGTATAGAATTGGGGGGGGGGGGGCACACGGTGCTGGGTCTGTCCCATTGACCCCCTTCCCGGCGGGCGTTCCGACATCTTCAGGTGGCCTCGAAGTGCACCTAGCCTGGCACAGCGCGGTGGTGATGTGGCGAATGGCGGTTGTTGTTGGATGTATTGTCCCGCATACATAATATTGGGGAGGGGGGGTATAATGGCCGGAAGAGGAACTGCTAGAAATTGGTGACGATTTGAAAAATCGCCCTGCTGCCGACGCTTGTAGGTCTACACGCTGTCGGTGCAGAGACGTCGGTGACGTTGCCACGGGGAGCGAACAGGAACGTCACGTGCCCGGTGCAGTCTCGGTTCTAGAACGCACGGAGTGTCGCGCGCTCCAGAACTGACTTGCGGATTACGATGGAGGTTGGTTGTTTTTTTTAAATACGTTTCTTTTAAATCGCTCTTTGCATTCGTGTGATGCAAAAGCAATTATATTGTGCTTGATATTTGTATGATATGAAAAGCGAGGTGCGGAGCATTGTAAGCTCTACATGGGTTAAATGGAAATAATGGGGCTATACATGGGGCACCCACCCCCTACATTAGCCCGGTATTTCGAGGACACCTCGTGTATGCATGGCTCACCGTCTCTGCCAAACCCCAACTCCTTGCTTCCCGTGATCAGCTCCCTCCCCTCTACAATCCCAACCAATGGTCTCGCGATGCTATTGCGTGCGGACGCTTCGTCATTTAAAATCGTATCGATTGACCCAATGCATTTAACCAATGCGACCTCGTGGGTGCTGTTGCTGCCATCAGCAAAAAAATGCTTCCATGCAGTCAAGGCCACGCACGTGGAGCGTGCCGTCAAATTGCTGGAAGTCAGAATCACGACAAAATACGATGAACACATCAACGTCATTAAACACAGCAATTACGTAACACAAATTGGTTTGCAGGTACGGAGTGAACACCGTTCAGAACGTGCTTCAAATGAGTTGCCGTGGCGTTTTATTGTTTTTTACCCGAATTCACTGGCAAAAAAAAATAAACATCGGCAATGTATCTATCTTAAACGCGTCTACGGGGCAAAATGATTTCTTGCAGAGCAGGGGTTCGTATGGAGCACGCGAATCACGGGGGTTACAAAAACCGCAGCAGGCAATTTGAACGAGGTGCGTTATTTCTCATGCGGCCGCGGTTACTCCCGCCAAGCAGCTGTCAGTGTTGAAGTTACACGGGCGTGTGCACAATGGCTGGGTCCAATTCCTAATTCGCCGCCACAACATGACTGTATAACGTGCACGGGGAAAAGAATCACGCAGCTCACTGCCAAAACCACCTTACTCTCTCAAAACAGTGCTATCTTCAGCTAATCTGCTCGTAAAATGCTGCATTTTACATGTAATTACCCGTGGGTGTTAATTATTTATATACGCCAGATTCACACCAAATAATGGCTTTCTCTTTTGATTTTGCCGTTCATTTGCAGCGCAGGATTACCCCGCACTGCGTAAACATTTACGTGAATTAATGTTCGGCATATGTGCACGCATTTAGGAACGTCGGTACTGATTTGTATTCATCAAGGTGGTGGTGCAAAAGGCAATGACAAAGATCCCCCGTATAGCCTTAACAGACTGCAGAGGCAAGTGCCGATAGCGAGCACCTATGAAGGCCGTAGGGGTGGGTAGCAAGCACCACGCCCGGCCGCCTTTGTCTCCCCAGCGGCGATGTTTTACCCATCGCACGGGGTACTCATTTGAGGCTGAGTTGACCTAGGGGAGGCCTGGGACCTGTTCAAATATTCGTCACCGGTGTACGGCGTTTAGCGGGAATCGAACCCGGGTCGCCGGATTCGTAGTGCGGCGCGTTAACCGCTGCGCCACCGCTCCCCAGGCACGAGCTCACATTGTGCAAAGCCGTGGACTTGCTCAAGTGAATTGGCCAGATGGCTACGGTCCTTGAGACGAAGGCCTTCGACAGCTGTGACTCTGCGCGGCGGTGCATATTTGCAGCCGTGCACGATGTCAGTCGGGAAGCACCATCGCAGCCTCTTGCAGGTCCCCCTCCCCCCGCCCGGCCCACGTCCGCTCGGCCTCAAACGAGCACCTGACGTGATGCGTGAGCATCGGCAAACGAGGGTGGGCTAACCGTGGCGCATTTCATAGGTGCTCGCCAACAGGGTTTGCCGCAGCAGAAGCCTGCGCGGGGAATTTTTTATCTCCGTCTTATAGTTTGTGAATAGATCAAACTTGCGGAGATTCCTAAGACACGATTGCAGACGTGGTCATGTGTCCCCCTCAAGGCCTCTTAGTATCTGGGGATGCCAGATCTTCCCTGTGGTTACAGATCGAGGCTTCGGCCTCAGGTCAACTGATCAGTTCTCCGTGGAACTCTCTCTCCCACGAGGTCGCAGGATCTCCGAGTCTGTGAGGGTTTGTAAAGCTTTACTTAAAACGTATCCATGAACCTCTGTTGATTAAACTTTTAGCAAATTAAAAAAATTGCTTTCGGCATTCATTTATTTCGGCCATTTCTTCGTTTTTAGTTTCACGGGTTAGCATCGTGCCGTGTGTCGGCTTCTGCCGTGCATACCGTGCCAACCCATATTGTTTACCCCGTATTCCTGTACAGGGAAATTGAGTGTTCAGATCCATATGGCGAAACAAATAAAAAAATGTCCTATTTGTTTGTGTTTCTCAATGTGATGGGACTTTGCAGGATGAACGTTGAGATTTTCGCCTGCGAGCCCAACTTTGTATCCATTTCAACAATGACAAACTGTTGGGAAGCAAATGCTGGCATTGGTAATTTGAAAAGAAAACACATTTATTTTTTATAATAATATAAAATACTCAAGCGGCTGAAAAATAAAGCACCTCTTTCCGTCAAATTGTGTGGAGACTGACAGCTCGGGTACAAGTGTCGATACCGAGACACCGGTTACATTGCGACAGGGAGTGAGTGGTTGGGAATGGGGTAGAAAAGGGGGGGGGGCGATTGGGGGATTACTGTGATTCTGAGTAGGGTTGCCGCGATATCAAATATTTCACGATGAACGTGCGTTGAGATTAGTTGGCTGCCGCTATCCATTCCCACGTGATAAGCCGCTTTGTTGAACGATCATTTGCGATAGTCCAAGTCGCTTCTGAAAAAAGAAGCTAAACGCTCAGTGGGCTTCACGTGGTGAAATAAAAATGAGTTTAGTTTTTAGCGATTTGCTTAACTTTCCTATGCTTTGCACTCCTATGGTGTGTGTTGTACTGTTTGTTTTCGTAACTAAGAGCTTTACAGCACATCGGATTCCTCCAATATAAGTTATTTCAAATTTTGACAATGTGGCGTCGATCATCACGATATCAGTTTCGCGTAAGTTTGTAATTGCATTTACCATTTTAAAAGTTGTTGTATTATTATTGTGCTTTGCTGTATTTCCTATGACGAGTGAATACGACTGAAATGTTCTCTGTCTGCAGTTCACTTGGCACATGCCCAACATACACCTTACGATCATTGCAACTTTACAATTTGTCAAGCTTATAACTCGTACACCGATAATAACGCGTGGAAATCATTACAAGTTGTTATTTAATGAACTACGAACACTATGACGCCATGCAATCTATCTGCACATGCCGTAAATCTCTCCGGAAAAAAAAACTTTTTTCAAAGCACTCAATTTCCCGGGGCGATAGTTACTCGTTTAGAAGGTTGATGATCGCATTCTTAACTTTATAAATGCTAGGGGAACATTTTGTCACGAACGGCGAATATTTTGGCGATTTAAACGAACAAGGCCAATCGCAACGCAAGGGTATTCTTCGAATCGGACAATACTTTTTTCGGTCACGGACGTTGCATCGCAGCGGTATACCACCGCAGGCCGGTGATATCGCCGCAACCCTAGTTCTGGTGAGAGGTGGCGGCGTGAGGCATGGGATACGTGGAGCCAGTCGAGACCCTGGCTCGTGTCTGGTAGATGACGAGAGAAAGAGAGATAGCAGAAGAGAAGGCACTTTGGGAAGCAAGGTTTGGTGATGTTAAAGACTTGGAACAGGGGGGGTGGGGGTGGTGAGTGATGTAGGAGAGGAATGTAGCTTTTGTGCGCGTCTTACCTCGGCCATTCCACGCGTAACCGGAGGCCTGGTGATCGTCATGCGAGAAAATACTGAAGCTGTGTAATTGCTGAAGCATTGCTCGTCTGCCTCCATGCGTCGTGGCGGTCGTGGCTACATGGAGGGGCCGAGAGGGGACCAACGTGTTAATGCCGATCCCAGGTGCCGCCACGTGGCAATGGCCCGGCAAAAGCTCCGTCTTAGAATAAAGATGCCAATTCTCTTTATTCTGGGAGGCTCAAACCAGCGGCCCCTTCACACCACTGCCGGCACCGCCCACTTTCACATATCCACACCCACTCACCCACTAGCCCCTCCCCCACCCCGCCCACTCCTCTGCCAGCCCCGCCCACTGCTTAGGTAACCACGCCCCTTCGCCCGTATTATGAGTTGAGCATGAGGTCTCATGTCTTTAAGATTTAGCCTCTAATCTGTCAGCATCATGCAGCTGGTGAGCCAAGTCTCATTCCGCTGCATTATCTCCCCTTAGGGAGTCGTAATTTCGCTTTCTTATAAACCACTGCATGGGGTCAGCTGCTCTTATGGCGATTTAACATTTGCATATATATTTTAATTGAACAATACATTATCAGCGCTGGAAAATCTCGACGTTTTGAAACACCGAATGCCCGGGCATTTGCTAAGCCGGGCCAATGTGTGTGCCTCTGTCAACGAGCATCGATTGCGAGTTTAAAACCCCAAGCAAAACACCACGCAGCTCAGCTTTTGGCGAGACCGCCGCTCATAAATGTAGGAACAGAAGTATCAGGACTAAGCACATGTGGAGGACGCAGGGAAATATTCCCCACGTGGGGTTGGGATTAGGCTTATGAACTTTTGCGGAGAAAAGCAGCGAGGGTTCTGCTGCCGTCGCTGCTGACCCGGCTGTGGATTTCGCTCGCGACGCTGCAGGATAACCCAAGCGGTGACGAAAAGAGTTGAAGGGGTTTTTTTTTTTTCTCAAACGGTCTTCACTTATTTCAATTTGCTTTTCAGCGGTCTCTTGAACCGCTCTCGTGACACATTTCAAGAGTGCCGCGGTCGTTTTAGCAGTGACAAGAATAAAGTTTGTGAAAGAAAACGGGTGCTTTGACAGAAGGCACACAAAGAGCCATCGGTTATCTAAAAGGAATCAAAGTTTTGTCGTTTGACGGCCAACTTGAAAACCAGCGCTGTCTGCCACCAATGTCACCAATTTAGCGAGGATATATATATATTTTAAGGGCAGTGGTTGATGCTTCCCCGCCCCCCACCCTCGTTCCCTCCCTCCCCCTCCCCTCCCCCAAATTAAAAGCAGCAAGTCAGCAGCACCGGAGGTGACTGAGCATCTGCCCAGTCAGGGTCGCACGCTGACGTTTGAATCCGCAGCCGAACACTGATCAGCTGATCAGACAGGACCAACCGCCACCGCCAGCCGGAGCACAGGGCACGTGAGACAAGGGGGCTACTCAAGAGAGGGGGGTAGCCCGGCCACACAATGCTTCAGCAAAAAAAAATTGGCACAAAAGACGATCAGGTGGGGTCGATGGGGAGACGGTCGGGGGGATGGGAGGGGGCTGGGTGGACGGGGGGAGGGGTATTAGGTGTGGGAGGGGTACCAGAGACTGGCTGGAGGCTGCTAGGTTATGAAGAGAGAGATAGGGGGAAGGGGGAGAGAGACAAAGAAGGAGATGACACAAGCCCCGGGACAGACGTAGAAGAGATGGAGGGCACAGGACGACAGGATGTGTGGACAAAGAAATAACAAAACATTTAAAAAAAGAAACAAACACATGGACAAAGCTGCAGGACTATTTTGCGATAATTTAATTGTGTTGGCCGGTGATTAGTTAAGCACTGATCAGTTATTCATAATTTATATGCAAAGTAGGAATATGCACTGGGTTGGGTTTTTTCCTCTTCTATGTAAATATGCATTAAAGTTACACATCTCATCGAGATTATATATATTCTAACGTTATTAAGAACCTTCAGATTTTTTTTTTAATACGTAAATAAAATAACCAGATTTAAGTTGGCTACTTCGGCGTCGAGAAATGTGAAATCTTCCCTCCGTTTAGCGTGAAGATAGTCGAACCATAGGGCGATGCAAGGGCTTCGGACGAGACAAAACAGCGACAACGTTTAACATAGAAACAAAGATGCGATCGTATCCACCTCCTGCAAAGAGACATCTCACATGCGGATCGCGGTCAGCCACGCTGGCATCGCCGTGAGCATCTGGCTACTCGCGCTCGTGACACGGGGTTTCAGCGGAGCGCTTCGAACTACGTCGTTAACGCGTCGGGACCAGGGCACAATCGATTCCTTTTACTTAAACTAAACAAGAGCAAAGCCCAAGCGTCAACGGTTAATGTGGATTTAATGGAAAAAATAAATAAAAAGTAACCGGCAAAGAAAATGTTGCTCTCGACTATAATAGCAAAGGCCGCCAACTCAACGTGAGCCAGCAAAAAAGAGGGACATGAATGTATGTTTGAGCGAGTCGTGGTGGTGCTGCGATTAACCCCCCAAAGTGAGCCCAGCCGATAATGAAGTTGAAAAATCGGCGCCGCATCGCCTCGAAATGTCACGGGCACGCAAACGCAGATCCATCCGTGTAAATAATTGACGAGGCAGCTGGCGGCCTGCATTCTGCCACGCACTTAACGGCGTCGTCGGAGCGAGTGTGGCAGGTGACGGCCGGTGTGAAACGGACGATTCGAATCGCGCTCACGTCTTAAGCGTACCGCTGCCACCGCTGCTAAAAGAACAATAATGCACTGCACACCGGCAACCATCGTCGGCCAGAAGCGGGTCACATCCCTCGGGTTGGAGGGGAAATGCTGCAAGCGGGGACGCCGCTGCAGACTTGCTCGCCAGATGTGCCCGAAAATGGCGTGGCATCACGTGCCTCCCGTGTAAGGCCGTCAATTTTTTTTTTCCCGAATGGACTCTTGTCGGTAATGGACGGTGCAGTGTCTGTTAAGAAAGGTGAAGTGGGCCTCGGGCGAGACGCACCGCTGAAGCGGACGATGGCCGATGGTCAGGGCCAATGATGTAGCAGCAGCCAAAGGATGGATCGCGTCTGAGAGGAGAGCCACCTTAAACGTAACTATATTTTTTCTTTAAACTATCAACGAAACTATTTTATTTTACCAGGTAAGGCCCACGGAGCTCTTGTTCAGAAGCAACCTGGCCACAAGTGATAGCTCAACGAAGTGGCTTACCATATGGAAATTTATAGCAGCCGAATACTCTTAACGCATGTTAATTCTAAATCTGAAGGGAAAAAACGGAGGCTCCGGAGAAAAATCCACACGACCATGGGGAGAACATGCAAACCCAAACTATACAGAGGCGTCAGCATCGGGCTCGAACCCACGACCTCCTGCATACCTGGCGAGGTAGTTAACATCTCACCACCATGGCGCCCCACCTTGCAGACGGAGCGATTAAATCAGCCCGTGTGTCCACAAATCAAATGTACCGCAGTGTACAACATGCACGTACGTACACCCCTTTGTGAATCCATCGCTGGACGAAGGCCACCTGGTTCGTACACGTCTGTGAAGGTGGGGGCCCCAGTACCGATTCAGTTGTCACTTACCACTGATGTTAGCCGTGGCCCGGGAAGTGGGAATTTGAACTCGGGTCGCCGGCATAAGCCGCTGAGTGCGCTAACTGCAGCGCCTCCGCTCAGCCCCTAGCATGCAGCGGAGTGGTGAGCGTGAAATTAAAAAGCGACTGGGATCGTACAATAACGGCGTAGGGAGAAAGAGGATTGAGAAACAAAGATGCAATACCAGCTGGAGTGCAGGCGCCAACGCCAATGTGGAATGATTTGGAGGCACCTGCGGTTCCACAGAAACATGGGAAATACAGGGGTCAAAGGTCACGTGGGAACGTGAAGGCAGGGAGCGAGCGCGAGTGGGTCAAGCGACGTAATCACCGGGCCACGGCGCTTCGCGTACTCAAATTCTAGCATTGCGGTTTACGACGATGTGGCTTTGGTGAGCTCGCAACAGTGAGCGCAGTCGAAGCTGGATACTAGCGACAGTGCCTTCAGGAGTGAGGCCAGCGTGATGTGAGGGTGCGCGACTTGTACGGGTACTGTGCTTGGGCAAACACATCTCATCGGTGGTGGTGATGCTGCTGCTGCTGCATTGGCAGTGGCGCGCAAGAACAAACGACGGCAAGCTGATCGCATGCGTCGACAACGACGCGGTCTTAAAAGGAAGAATAGATGAGAGGCATCGTTTTGGGCAATTGTCCTTCTTCATAGCATCAGATTTTTTTTTTCATCAGGCCCCATGGTGTTAAATGCAATCTCTAACTCGTATCATCCACGGTGCCTCTCTGCTGGCCTGCCTACGGATGTGCTCTGAAGAAGGGCCATTTCCCGAAATGGCACCTGTTATAATATATTTTCTTTCCTTATTGACGAAAGTGTCGAGGTTGATAATTGTTTTTTTACCCTTTTATCTGGCAACAAAACTGACACCTTTTTTTACAAGGAGTCATGTTTGCATATACTACAATACCTGCAGTCATAATGCAGACAAAAAACATAACTCTGATAATGTATGCACTGTCCTTATGTCATATTTTTTACTGGAAAATAAGGTTCAAATGGAGTGTCGAGGTTATTTGTTATTTGTGCGAGGTGTGCCTGTATCCAGCTTCTACTGCAACAGGTTTCACTAAAGTCATAAAAGGCCTTCTTGTTAATCCACTGTTGGATGAAGGCCCACCCCATGCTATTTTGGTCATGGGGGTTGTTGGACCATACTTCACCACGCTGATCAATGGGGGCTGGTGAAGGGCAGGAGCCTAGGATCAGTTCAGATATCATTTACCACCGATGTTAGCCGTGGCCGAGATTCGAACTCAGGTTGCCGTGTTCATAACGCAGTGTGCAATGCAACTGGCTCTACGCTACAGCACATATATGGGCATGAACGTAAACAAAATTAGTCAAATTCATTACTATATGTGAATATACAATATAGTGCAGAAAGCGATAGTGGGATTTTAAATCACAATATTTGAAAACAGAAGGCACACATATTTTTTTTTACTTTAATGCTCGTGGCGACTGACTTTGGGTAAACGGTCCACAGAACATATAATAACAACACAACGTCATGTATCGTTTGCCAAGATGGATCTGCCTGATATCATTTGGCAGCGTTTTGCGTGGTGGTGTCACTTGCAACCCCCTTGCCGTACCACCAACAACGCATCGTTGGAATGTTCGCACGTTGCAATGCACGCGGGGGCTGAAGCGTCGCTCACACGCTTTTTTCCCCTTAACAGAGAACGTGAGATATTTCGCAACATTGCCACCAACTCAGCCTCCCGTTATCTTTCACGTGAAACTCTAATATTTTAATTTTTTATTATCAATGTTTTGTTGTTATTGTTGCATTTCGCCACCGAATATGCCACGGCTGACGCTGCTTTTGTGTACCGCTGACCAGGGCTCCCCTGCCGATCTGACAACCAATGCCACCCGCTCGTTGTACAACGCCAGCGTGTAAGTCAGTCGTCTCGGGGGGAGGAAAAGCCGGAGCGATTATTTTTTGTCGCTTGCCGGAAACGTGGGCTGGCACCAGATGGCACGGGAGGTGCCCCCAGCGGGTGCCGTCGAGCGGGACCCAGCGATTACCCCCCGTGTGCGTGTGTGTGTGCGTGTGTGTGTGTGCGTGTGTGTGTGCGTGTGTGTGTGTGTGCGTGTGTGTGTGTGTGTGCGTGTGTGTGTGTGCGTGTGTGTGTGTGCGTGTGTGTGTGTGCGTGTGTGTGTGTGTGCGTGTGTGTGTGTGCGTGTGTGTGTGTGTGTGCGTGTGTGTGTGTGTGTGCGTGTGTGTGTGTGTGCGTGTGTGTGTGTGCGTGTGTGTGTGCGTGTGTGTGTGCCAGCTTAAAACAAAAATAAAGGCGATTCTAATTTAAGTTTCTTAAGTGTCGGGTTCAGGATGTGGTGCCATTGAATGTGCAACGGCTTGCCGTTTCCCCGTTCATACAATTTGGACAGGACTGTGATTTATTTACGATGTAATGTCATACATCATGGCTGCGGGAAGCCAATGTTGTTCATCGTTGGGTTCCATGATTCTTTCAGTTTCCTAGCAGCACCAATGGCCATAATTTTCAACTCTCCCAAACGTCAACTCTGCACCGCAGGACTGGCTCAAGAAAATAAAGAGGGGCTGTAGGGACAACGTGTATGTAGATGTCTCTGGGGGGTTCAGCTTAATAGATAAAAAAAGTATTGCCTTGTGCCAGTTTCTTCACTCTCCTCCAATTAGTTTACTTGAGAATATGCATGACTGCGCATTATCGCCCAATTAGTACAATGCCATAAAGGGCCATGTTTTACAACCACTAACTTAACATTTGACACCACTCATTATACAACTTTTTTTGCTTTGTTTCAACAAATTACCAACAAGTAAACTGCGTCGTGGACACAGACCCACTGTCGTCCATTCATCCGAGCTCACCTCTGTAAACGAATTAATTCTCCCAATTCAAAGTCGACGTCAGGAGTCTCAACAGTTGGGACCTGCCACGCGGCCCTTACAGAGCCGGCCTTCGCGGTTGTTGCTGCCCCTAACGTGTATACCATGTGCAGTGGTTACACCCTACAGGCTATCTGCCCCCATGGATCGTGACGATGACAATGATGCTTGTACGGCTCTTCGTACAGCCACGGGAGGTTGTTAGAGCCTATTATTACCATCGTCGTCATCGTCGTCGTCGTGAGACCTCTCTTCTCATCGGTTCGGCAACAGAATCGGTATTTGCACCGGAGGAATTCCGCTAAGCTACAAAGCCCCTTTTTTGTTTCACAGATGCCCATCAGCAAGCGCCTCACCCCCCTACCTTCTCCGTTGGCGGGCGCGGCGGGCGCGGCGGGCGCGCTGACCTCCATGCAGGCGGCAGACATCGCCTTGCGGAACGGAGGTCTCACGGGTCCCCGGCTCTTGGCCTTGGGCGCTTCGCTGGGGGCGAAGCGCTTCGCGGGGCTCCTCGACTGCTGGGCCGTGGTGGGACTGGTGCACACCCCGTTCAGCTGGTCTGAGAGACACAACGGCAACAACGCGGGCGGCAGCGGCGGTGGTGGCACTGCGTGGACACCGGCCGGGCCGGGCCGGGCAGGCGCGGGCGGCAAGAGAGGGCCCCACTTCTCTCGAGCTTCAGAAATGTATCATTTCGATTTCAAACTTTCGTGACTGCAGGGATTCATATTCTTGGTTCTTTTGGTAAAGTCACGTAGAAGGGAGACAATAAAATTATAAGAATATAAAACAATAAAATTCTCACGACGTTTCGACTGCAACACAAGCAATCATCATCAGGTGTGAAAACCACAGGAAGAAAATTTGAAATAAACTGCCATTTTTTTTAACTGCCACTTTTTTCAAATTTTCTTGCTGTGCATTTCACACCTGATGATTATTGCTTGTGTTGCAGTCGAAACGTCGTGAGAATTTATATTTTTATTCTTTTATTGTTTCCTTTCTACGTGACTTTACCGAAAGAACCAAGAATATAAATGTATCATTGTTGTTGTTGCTGTGCTTGTCTGTCTTATTCCTATCGGATATGTTTACGGAGCGCCGTGGCTCCAGGTGCTTTATCATTGCTTGAAAGTGTTCATGGTAAATAATAATGATAATGCATCTTAGATGGCAGGGGCCAGTGTAACGGCCGAGGAATCAGTGACCACGAGAGAGGACAGGGGAGGGACGGGAATGAGTGGAGGGGCGAGGGAAGAGAATGGACGATGGTGAAGAGGTTGAGGCTTTAAGAGAAGAACGGATCGAGGCTAAGGAGGGGGCTGCTTCGTGTACTGGGGCAGTGTTGATTCTACGGGAAGTTATGAGTCTATGGGCAGTGTTGAGTTTATGGGTTGCAATGTTGAGTCTATGGGCAGTGTTGAGTCTATGGGCAGTGTTGAGTCTATGGTGCAGTGTTGAGTCTATTGGCAGTGTTGAGTCTACGGGCAGTGTTGAGTATATGGGTAGCAGTGGTCCATGGGCAGTTTTGAGTCTGGTGCAGTGTTGAGTCTATTGGCAGTGTTGAGTCAATGGGCAGTGTTGAGTCTATGGGCAGTGTTGAGTTTATGGGTAGCAGTGGTCTATGGGGAGTGTTGAGTCTATAGGCAGTGTTGAGTCTACGGGCAGTTTTCAGTCTATGGGTAGCAGTGGTCTATGGGCAGTGTTGAGTCTATTGGCAGTGTTGAGTCTATGGGCAGTGTTGAGTCTATTGGCAGTGTTGAGTCTATGGGTAGCAGTGTTGAGTCTATGATGCAGTGTTGAGTCTATGGTGCAGTGTTGAGTATATGGGCAGTGTTGAGTCTATGGTGCAGTGTTGAGTCTATGGGCAGTGTTGAGTCTATGGTGCAGTCAGTTTAACACGTAGGCTTTCGCGACCAATGTTATTCATAATCAACGTTTTTGGGTTTAGATCGCGTTTATTTATAAATGTGTCGTAACCCTCCACCACCCGACACGGCCAATCAGTAAAAATGTGTCACGTTGACAAAGACAGATAATTACAATCACTCCCCCCTTGAATCTTTGCACCTGATGAGTTGATGAGTTAATGATGACGTCACCCTGCTGCTGCTCTATATAAGAACGGGAGACAGCAGAGCCTCACCATTCTGGCGAATTGCCCGATGATGCTGGTTGCAATTACCAGCGAAACGTCGTACTCAAATTGTAAATGTTGTGGCTTCAACACACCGGTGGGCTAAAGCAGTGAACTATTTGTCTTTGTCAACGTGACACATTTTTACTGATTGGCCGTGTCGGGTGGTGGAGGGTTACGACACATTTATAAATAAACGCGATCTAAACCCAAAAACGTTGACTATGGTGCAGTGTTGAGTCCATGGTGCAGTGGTGAGTCTATGGGTAGCAGTGTTGCTCAATTTACAGGGGAAGTTGATTCCAGTGGAGGGGAGCAAAGAGGGAGAAGGGCCAGTGACGAGATTGGCCACAGGGAGAAGGAGGTACGGAGACAGGGAGAAGATTGGGAATGAAGAGGATGAGAGCAGGGGACATGTAAGGAGACGAGAGGCGAGATGAGGTGGGGGGGGGGGGCAAGGACATCGAGAGACTTAAAGACGAGTGCAGGGTTTTTGTAAAGACAGCGGTGCAATAAACGTGAAGCCAGCGACGTTGGCGTATCGCTAACGACAACAATAATGGTGAATCTTTCTTTTATAAAGCACCTGTCATATCTAAAACATCTCAAAGCGCTGTAAAACAAACTACTCACAACTCTAAACTTCACGCGCGTCAGGAAAGCCTCGCCGAGTCTCGAGACACTCGTTTGAGGATTCTAACGGGTGGTTATATTATTTTTTTGCATATTTGGTGTTTGAACATCTTAACACCTGTTTTATTGCCAGAAAAGGTAAAACGTCTTCTTGTTTTTTTCGTATCATGATGTTGTTGCCATGTGCGTCATCTCCATTCGCAGGGCATTATTTTCAGCCATGGGCGGGATGTTCTGGCCAATACCCAATCGCGTGTTTAATTTTTTTAGCGCATCGTTAACACGCACCAGTTTCACTGCACAACATATTCCCAGCCGCATTGCTTTAAAACCACCACTGTGCCGTGCCGCGCATCGAATTCTGCGCATTGAACGACGCCCGCTCGAAGTTTAAACGTCGCGCCCTCACCACGTGGCCATCTCAGCGTTTACGCCTAAAACCTTGTGGGCAAGTCCCCCGTTTTCGTAGGCCGAGGCTGTCATGCCCGTCCGCTGTTTGATCGCTGCTTTGCATACTGGGGGGGGGGGGGACGCGTGCTTCACTTTAAGCACTCGTTCTTCTATTAAAGGTCCAGGCCTCGACTTACGAACATAATGAGATCCTGAGACACCAATTATTTTATTTGTTAAAGGTCAGGCCTCGACTTACGAACATAATTAAATACTGAGACGCCAATTATTTTATTTGGCAAGGGCTAGTCCTCGATGTACGGACATAATTAGATCTCAAGACACCCGTTTGTAAGCCGCGGGTGTAAACACAGGCACACGTCCATAAGTCGATGAGTGCTTGAAGTTACCCAGGGAAGTCTCGGCGAGTTTAAAGACTCTTGCACAGGTAAGTCCTGCATTGAGCGCCAGATGAAGGTTACGAGGCGACTCAGGATAATTATCAGAGGGAAGCGCCTAAGTATGTAAAAGTCTTTTCATCTTGCAGGGAAAAAACCCAAAGTCATCAAACATATTTAATTATTTTACCTATGTAAAAATTGCATATTTATTAGACTCGGGGTAAATTCGTCAAACATAAAGCACTCGCTGCACTCATTACTTAAAACAAACAAAACTTCGGGGTTTCTCCCGCCCCCCCCCCCCCCAGCTTTAGCTATTGTGACAAAGTCATTAATAACATTATCATAATTCAAAGAAAATGTTTTTATTCTCGATGTGTGCGCTACCGTCGCTCAGCTGTTACCTCCACGTGTAAAGGATTTGCCCTAAAAGAAGCCCAACAACGTCCGAGGGAGACTCAGCCTATGGGGCAATCCGGTCCTGGGTTCTCCCCTCCGACAGGTCCCCACAGCTGCTTGCCCGGCAGATACGCAGCGACCACCAAGGTCTGTCCCTGCGGGTATCGTCTCAGCTCTCACCGATGGTCGTAAAAACTCGGAGCTCGCAGAGGCCGCTCCGGTGGCCCTGCTCTAAACATTGCCTTTTGGCGTCATCTGGTCCAACACCAATGGAGACTAGGCTCAAAGGAAAGCTGTCTCGGGTGTGGACCAATCAACTTCAAGGGCAGTGCATATCATTACCATTATCAGAGTTGTTTCTTTTTGTTTGCATTTTGACTGCTTGTGTTGCGATTATTGCAACATGATGCCTTGTATAAATGTGTCAGTTTTGTACAAGTTTAAAGGGTAAAAACCTACTACTATATTTTGCCACTGGTAAAGGAGATGTCTCATAGTGCCGCCACCCTTGAGGGTCAGGGTTCACGATGCAGCTCTATCCGTGATCCACCAACCCCCCCCCCCCACCTCCGAGGTGCCGGATCGCAGGCGTGCGCGCTGCGCTACGAAGCCAGCGACCCGAGTTCGATTCTCGCTCGTGGCCAACACCGGTGACAATTATCTGTACCGGTCCTGGGCCTACCCTAGGTCGAATCAGCCTCAAATTAGTACCTGGTGTGGTGTGTAAAGAATGCCACTCGGGAAAACAAAGGCGGCCGGGCGTGGTACTGGGGACCCACCCCCGCCCCGTGTGCCGTGCCGCCCTCCAAAGGTGCGACTCGCTAACAGCACTTGCCCCAACAGTCTGCGAAGGCTACACGGGGGATATTTGTGTTTGTTTACGTGCCAGCCACGGGGGGCACCGCGCTTTTCGCTAGCACCGTTTCAGGCTGGCACGAAACGCGATTGACCTCCCACCCAGGAGCCTCCGTCTGTAGACAGAGAGCGATGGTTACTGCACTAGCCACGCTCAACTCTTACGGAGCTGAGAGTTGAGAGTTGTTGACCGTGGAAATGTTTATTTTCAGCAATCATAGCACGTTTCCCAATCAAATAAACAAGTAACACAACACACAGGGCTCGTTAAGAGGGGGGGGGGGGGAACTTCGGTCGATTAGTCCAATTTAGGAAAGATGCACGAATACGTTTATTCTGTCACCGAGATGCCGACATTGATTGTTTTCGTTTTCATTTTTTTACTTTTGCAAGAAATTGGCCACTTTCGGATTCAATCGAACTCCTCTGAAATAATTACACGGATCATGTCACGATGTCTTCAAGTGTTTGAGAGCCAAGAGTTTTAGATTTGGGTTGTTTAATTCGCAATCGAAGGGATGAATAAACTTTGTTATTTATACTCCAGTTTGACTGGCTTTGACAAACACCTTTAAATTTCACATTTTAGGTGCTCCAGGCAAACTGTGAACAACAACAAACTAATAATGGGTATGGAACACAAAGCTTCGTGACATCTTCGAAGCGACATCTTTCATATGTGACTGGAGATATTTTAGGAGTTCATTTTTTTTTTATCTCAACCCTCTAGCATCAGCTTATGCAACCCGGGGGTCAACGGATGTCCATCTCTCTGCGTCACTGCTGCCCCGTCGGTTGGTCACACTTGCATCGAGTTCATTTTGGCGATCATCTTGGACAAAGATGCCCACACAGCTATGAAAATAAGGATAGGTTTTTACCCTTTCTGGCAATGAAAAAAACAGCAAGTATTAAGATGTTCATATACCAAATAAATACCTTTTGCAAGGAATCAAGTCGGAATTAACCGTTCTTATTTTTCATACTTTGATACTGGCTAAAAAGGTCCCATAAGATAACCCACAATGCAATGCTTCAGGATATGCTGCTGCTGCTGTTGTTTTTCTTGCATGCGCACCATGGGCATACACGCTTCATGCACGGCTGTTTGTTGTTTGAAACCTAAAGCAACGGTGAACATTTTAAGAGGCAGCCCTAAAGAAAATAAGACACCTTCTGTAGTCTGTATTCACCGTACAATCTACTGAAAAAAAGGCCGAGTACAAGGAGTTACGAGTTCGGAAATTGTCTCTGCTTGCAATCCTAGCATGGCTTGCGTGCCGTGAAATTATAGTTCTCCAAAACGTTTCTTCACAGCTGGGCAAAACGAGAATGATCGCTCTGTAGGCAGTCTCACGATCGGAAACTTTTCACATGCCCGTATTTACAGTAATACCTCGATGTGCGTACATTCGATAAACGAAGTTTCGGTATAACTTTGGATTTTTTTCACCAATTATTTTACACAGAAAGCTATGAATAAAATTCGAAATAAATTCACTGATACGAATACATTATTTCGTCAATCTACGGTGCAATATAAGTAATAATAAAAATTGTGTTTCTTCACTATGTTTCTTTTATTTAAGTTTTTGTTGTAAGTGTAATACCGTACAGTATAAAACACAATTCTACTTTCAACACAAGTTGTCTTAAGTTTACGACACGAAGGGTACGTTATGAAGTGTTCATGCAGAAGCATTTTTAAAGTATTTTTTTTCGCATAGTTTTTACAAATGATCAGCCAAGCGCATTCTAAAGTGCGCCATCGCGCTCTCCTACCGCCAGGCAGTTACAGCGGTGACAGGGACCCGAGGAGATGTCACGGCCAAGAGAAAAGCGTCGTGCCTTTATGGAGAATGACATTGGAATACCCGACAAATTGGCCACTTATCGAGTCATTTGCAGTTTAACACGTAGGCTTGCGCGACCAATATTATCCATAATAGAAGGGTTTTTTGGGGGGGGGGGGTTAGATTGCCTAAATGTTAATGTGTCTCGATGTAAAGCTTTCGTGACTGCAGGGATTCATATTATTGGTTCTTTCGGTAAAGTCACGTAGAAGGGAAATAATAATATAATAATAAAACAATAAAATTCTCACGACGTTTTAAATGTTCTTGCTGTGGTTTTCACACCTGATGACGATTGCTTGTGTTGCAATCGAAACGTCGTGAGAATTTTATTGTTTAATTTTTATAATGTTATTTCCCTTCTACGTGACTTTACCGAAAGAACCAAGAATATGTTAATGTGTCGTTAAAACCGCCTCCGCGGCCATCCGACACGGCCAATGAGTAAGGTTTGTCACGTAAATAACACGTGGCAATTCGTTACTAGTACAGCACTAACCGGTTGTGTGTTTGAGAGCCTGATGATGCCGGTTGTAATTACTTGAAAATTTAACGGCACTCGAATTGTAAATGTTGTGGGTTTACTCTCAGACACACAACCGGTTAGTGCTGTACTAGTAACGAACTGTCACGTGTTGTTTACGTGACAAACCTTACTAATCGGCTGTGTCGGGTGGTGGCGGGTTTAACGACACATTCATATTTACACGATCTAACCCAAAAAAGCTGTATAATAGCTAATCATTCGCGTCCGGAGTGGCGGTGGGTCGGTCGCTTTTCTTGCAACTTAGGTGTTAAAAAAATCATTTTTCAAAGTACACACGTTCTTTTTTTCTTTTGTTGCCTCCCACCGCCAACGTTTTACGCTTTGCCAGACAAAACGAAATCGACCCTGCCGCACGACAACCCCCGTCTGCGGCAGTCAAATAGTTCAAGGCCGAACGCTAAAAGCGATCGAGGTGTCGTTATTTGGCGTGCTATTGTTTACCCAAAGACCCAGTTATGTTATTGTCTCCCGAGAATGCATTAGTGCGCTGTCACTAAAGCTTTGTATATGCTCAAGGATGTCTCTGGGCTGGCAATATGAATGGGCCTAAACAATGGATGAGACATGTATTTTTTAAAAGTTTTTTTTTCTCCCAATTCTACTCCGGATTGTGCAATCAGCGTCATTGCTAGAGACGATGAAATCGCTGGCAGGTTCGCTGCGTGAGTCTGTGTTTCCTGGGGGGATGGCCTGTGGAAGGAGATATCAGAGAACTACATCTGACATTCCCGTGCAAGTGACCTCTCGTATCCACGCGCTGCTGCACTTTACCGCACACCTTGATGCAGAGATGCTTGTCGCATGGCTGATTATATATTTACATTTTCAAAATTGGAATGTGTCCAAAGCAAGTGGAAAAAGCAAAGACGAAGATCCCTTGGGCAACCTTCATAGACTGTTGGGGAAGCGCTGTTAGCGAGCACCTATGAAGGCCAGTAAGGCACAGGAGGAGGTGGGTGGCCAGCACCACCCTCAGCCGCCTATGACTATACAGCAAACGAAGACAAATACAAAGATCCCCCGTATAGCCTTCAACAGACTGTTGCGGCAAGTGCTATTATCGAGTAGCAGCTATGAAGGCCGGAATGGCACACAAGGGGGTGGATGGCTAACACCACGCCCGGCCGCTTTTGTCTGCCCAGTGGCGATGTTTAAACCCTGCACCAGGTACTAATTTGAGACTGAGTTGACCTAGGGGAGGCCCAGGACCGATTCAGATAATCGTCACTGGTGTTGGCCATGAGCGGAAATCAAACTCGGGTCACCGGGGTTCATAGCGCAGCGTGCTAACTGCTACACTACCGGGTCACCAAGTTAACTGCTACACTACCGCTCCACACTACAGCAAACACACACACACACGAGCAATATACATACATATGCAACATGACGAACAATCACTGAGCGTGAATGTCAACCCTAACAGGAGTAAAGCCGCTGTGGATTTCCTCATTTGTAGAGTTTTAAGACAGCTTACCATATCACTCGCTCTCATCTTGTAAATACATTCCTGTGCTACCCGACGTGTGTTCGGTGATCAAGAGGAGAAGCACGTAAAGTCGCAGGCGCTCTCGAATGGTGCCACTGGCCGTAACATTTACAATATGCCAAATGCAGAGGACATCGCCGCAGCGCAGCACTGGAGTTGGCCAAACATCCACAATGTAGGATCACAGAGCTTGGTTCTTTCGGTAAAGTCACGTAGAAGGGAAGTAATAAAATACTAAAAATAAAACATAATAAAAAAATTATCACGACGTTTTTATTATGTTTAATTTTAATTATTTCATTACTTCCCTTCTACGTGCCTTTACCGAAAGAACCAAGAAGATGAATCCCTGCAGTCACGAAAGCTTTAAATCGAAATTTAATGTAGGATCACAGAGCTTGGGCGATTGCTGACACAGGTTCCGTGGTTTCCCGCACCTCTGACTCATCTCTCTCTCTCCCTCCGAGAGAAGCGGAACGCCAATTGCGCTGCGCGCGTCGCAAGCATCTGCATCATTATTCCTGCTCGTGGTGGCAACACATCCGGTGAGTTTAAGAGGCTTTAACCTTTAACGCTCGCACTTGGGGCAAGTGACGGAAACCACGGCAAGGCTCCTGTCAACACGAAGACGCCAGCGTCTAAACGCTGTCACATTCGCCTTCGTGATTTCGAACTTCCCGCCCCGAGCTGGTGGGGGAATTGACGCAAGGGTGGCGTTGATCTCCCCGTGCACCCTTAAGACCACATACCTGCGTCAATTACGTCATCTCGTTTGCTGTTTTGGTAGCTCTTTTGCAGAACTACTAATGAGTGGGTGAAGAACACAGATGGGAGCGAGACAGAGACAGATCGAACAAATGGAATTAACGGCGCGTTGTCACGACGGCGGCAAACAGCCGAAACAAAAAAAGATCAGACGGGAAGAAAGATCGCGTGAAACAATTAGCATTCTGGCCAAAGCGACGTCAAGCACGGTTCTCGGAAAAAAAATTAATAAAGTTCTCAATTCGAGCACATCGCACACTCGACCGAGCGTCGCACGGGTTTGCGATGTTCAGCACGCGGCAACGACGGAGCCCAGCATCCACGCGCGCCGCGCGCGACATTCGCATTTGCGGCAGGCAAGCAGCAACCGCAGCACGCACGACTCTGCGATGACATCACTCTGTAGCGTTCACGCTCCACGGAGTCATGGTCCCGACCGCTGGGGTTGCGTTTCATTAATTTATCCTGGCAGCGCCGATGATTTCACCCAACTCACCCCCCCCTCCGCCGCCGCCGACCCTGCCGTCACTAACCCATTCGCTTTGTACTTTCCGTTCAGCGATCTCAGATAGTTGCAGACGGACGCGACTGAATGGTTTGCTGTCGCGCGCAAGGCAGTTTACACCCGGACTGGTGGATTCGTCGCAATTATATTAATTATTCAGTACCCCCCACAAATATAACGGTCGCTTTCGCGGTCGACTGAAAACTAGAGGCTTCGTGCGAAGCGCTCCCTTTTAATTCGCTACTACCGTGAGCGCAGAGCTATTTAGAATGAAACGAAATTCGTATTTCTTTTTCAACGAGCACCAAATCGCCGAATAAATGGGTCATTGCGATTGACTGCGATGCGAGACAGTTTCTATAAAAAAAAAATATGACCGCAATTTTTCGTAGAAACCCGCAGAGATAACTGTAATTTCCAGAATTTATAGAGCCAAAACATGTACAAACCCTGATAGTCAAATCAAATATTGGAGCCACAGCGGCTTTCTTGGAAACGCAAATGCCAAGCCACGTTTAAATATGTATACGTATATAAAATGTAGCGTTACGTTACCCGCATGTAGAATTATTTTGATCGCCCTGCGTGACCCATTCAGACGGCCTCATTTTGTTTGTTGCCAAATTGCAATCCCCAAAAGTTTCCGACGTTCAAACTAACAAATCAACGACGTGTGCGACTGTGAAGGAAGGCGTCGTCATCTTATGAATTCGAAACACGGCTCAAAACGCACGACGCCAATATCACGGCGGATGCCGAGGCGGCTTTATGCAGTGAGCCTCACCCCAATAGGACCGAGCCTGGGATGGAATAAAAAACTATTACATTTTCAACTCCGTTGCCCAAAAGCCCACAGCCTCACCGGCCAAACGGGCCACGCAGAGATAATAACCCTCTGTGGCGTTAACGGGACTCCGTCAATCGGCCACGGTCAATCCAACTTGCTGGAAATTCATCACCAGCACCATAATTTCGAATTGTTGGGGTGGTAAAATAAACTCCGTCTTCATCATCATCAGTCATGATCGATCCACTGCTAGTTGAAGCCGTTGCCATCTCCTGTGGTTCTGCGATGTTAGCGATCCATCTAGCTCCCTGCGCATAAACGCCACGTGGTTTGCAAGCACCACTTGCTGGGGTGGTCAACGGTGGTTGCCCTTTGGACGGCCTCTCACCCACCATGGCAACGTGGAATTTCCACCACTGGTACAGGGCAGCCAGTGAAGATGCGTTAGCAAGGGGAGACTTAAACTTATGCGATAAATTGCATTCCGTCAGTGGCAATCGTTCCATGATCCCGCAGTTGCAAAAATCCCACTAGCACCTGCACATTAGCTGATTATGGGAAGATTCTTACTGCGAAAAAACAACATCCCATTGTCATTCCACTGCCGGATGAAAGCCTCATTATGCCGTGTAGGTTATGGGGGATGTTTGACCATACTTCACCAAGCTGGTCAGTGTGGGTTGGTGAAGAGGAAGGGGGGAACGGGTAGGGTAGGGGGGGGGTGCAACACCAAATTTCAAGTTTCAGGTTTATTTTCATTAACCAGATGAGAACTCTAGAGACCAACACAGGTTAGTCTCATTTGCAGTTGGAGGGCTACGATTGCTCTGCGAGGTACAATCCCAAGTGACCAGTTCAGGCCCAGCATAGATATCACTAACATGGCCGAAAATCGAACTCAGACGGTGGGGTTAATAGGGCCACGGCAAAACGCTGCGTCGTCCACTCCACCATTCTATCCGATGTGAGTACTTAAATGAGTGTAAACCCGTTGACCTGTGGCACACACCACGGGAAGGGAACGAGAGCCAAAGGATTTCGTACACGTGCAAAGTAAAAAAGGAGCGGGAAAGAGAAGGGATTAAAGTACGGGAAGAGGATAAAGGGTGGGAAGGGAACGGAAACAATTTGAGCAGAGAAGGTGCGCAGGGCAGGCATGGGAGAAGTAATGACCAGGTCAAGATGTCGGGGAGGAGGAGGGGGGGGGGGGTGAGGATGAAAGGGGAGGGAAGCGAGGGAGAAAGAAGGGAGAAGCAGGCAAAAATGAGCTGCACGGAGCGGCGTCTGTTTTTCAGAGTGGGCGGAGAAAAGGGGAAGGATTCAGAGACGAGTTGTGGCCATCACGGAAGTCACGTGGTTTACGTGAGACCTGATCTGGTTTAGTTAGAGAGATAAAGGCAGCGGAAGGTTCTTCGTCTGAAAGGAAATGTGATGGGCGATCTTGTTGAAGCTCGTTATTTCTCTCCATGGTCTCTCCTCCAAGGCCCCGACGCGTTATTGGCCACCCAGAAAAAAAAAAGTTTTGCTCCTTCAGTGGTGGAAATTACACATTCATTTGGCGGGGGATAGACCATCCAAAGGTTGCTGTCACTGTTACGTTGTTTTTTTTTCCACATAATTTATTCTCTGTGGGGAAAAGAATACATAGGGAGTGCATTGGTCTGCTGAGTATGGATTTTTATTTTTAGATAATCGGATCTCTCGACGTTATTTGTCAAGCTACCCTTGAAATATCTCTAGATATTTTTTTCAGAATTCTCTCCATTTTTTTAAGTTTTAACAAACTGCAAGATAATTTAAAATACGGATGGAATAAAAAAGAAAAACACCTGGCATAATCTAGGGCTGCAAAATATAATTATTTTAATGGAACATATTTTAATTCCAACTGGCACGAATCGTTCTGCCAAGTCACGTGCCCTTTTGATCACCAGTTGTGGATAATAACTGCGGCTGTATGGATCTTAATTTTAATAACCGTGGCTTTGAGTGGAACTTGTTATTCATTCGCAAGCACCAGACATACAAGCTCGATAATTATTATTAGAGTGAACAAGTAGCAATTACGTTGTCTTGTTTTGATCAAGAAAATGTGCAACATCCAAGTCGCTTCTTCGGAACGCTATCTCGTCTGAGAGTAATTGCATTGACCGGTCACACACGCGCGCCTGGTTTGACCCAGCGCAAGAGGCAGACGATGAGGTTTTAGTTGCGATGAGCTTGGCGTTGTTGACGTTGTTCACGTGTGCTCAGAGTGTCTCTCACGAGGTGTTTTGTGTGGCGTCCTAGCGGATAAATTGCTTTGAGAAGGAAAAAAAACCACAGATACTATTAAAATAAAAAAAAAATGACAAAAAAAATGTTCTTTTAAAAATATAGTATTACGAATTATTATATTGGCTGTGAAAACGTACGTGTGATGTAAAAAAAAATAAACATTTTGTAATTTGGGAAAATAAGTGGCTTACTTTCTGACGATTTTGAAATTATCAATTCAAACAGAATTGGCTATTTAAAATAATACTCTTAGGTTTTTTCGGTAAAGTCACGTAGGTAAAAAATAAATAATAATAAATAAATCACCCCCAGCGAGGGGTTACAATGAAACATAAGGGGCACAATTAATTCCGCCCCTGGCCAACAACCAACAACGAGTTGCCGTTCCATTTAGAGTATTTAGAATTCGATTATGTTGCTGCTACACATTTTCACGTGATAAGCCACTTCGTTGAGCTATCATTTGCGTCCAGGTTGCTTCTGAAAAATAAACTAATAGCTCAGTGAGCCTTGCCTGATAAGATAATAAATCGTTTAGTTTTATTTTGATTTTATTTTTTAAAAAAGTGATTTGTGTTCCTTTCCTACACTGTGCACACCTGTCGTTTTTTTGTACAGTTTGTTGTTGTAACGTTCGGACCCGTGCCCCTACTGGACTTCTTTGAAAAAGAGCTTAATAGCTCATCGGATTCCTCCAGTAGGCATACATATTCTAATTCTGATTGAACCCTCTGCAAAAAAAAAACCCCTCCCCCTGCCATTGCACTCCTCTCCCTGTAATTTGAGACACCACGTGTCCACCGGTTCACATGGCAGGTTTCATGGTCAGAAATGGCATGGGACTGGTGCAATTGCGATGCTGGCAAAAATGCGTAATTTTATTCCACGAGACCACGATGCACAATGCTTGACTTTGCGGAGCTCTGCCCGTGTACCGATGTCTTTTTTCTTTTTTAGAGATGCTATGGAAAAAGCACGCTGTTACAAAAGAAAATACATGTCAGAAAAATGGGGTTAGTGGCGTTGTGTGGAAGGAAATGATCCGAGTTCAAATGCAGATCAGACATGGTTCAATGGGAAATAATGTTATTTAAAGCACTTTCAAACAACTTTACCGTGGACCAATGGATCTCGTTCAGGCGTAATGTGTATATCCGCTCGCCATAAAAAATACATTACAAGACGCCAGCACTGCTGTGGGCTTCAAATATTAAAATTCCACCGTGTAAGGTCCGCGAATTAAAGTCGCGCACGTCAATCCGCCTGCTTTGATGCTCTAAATGAACTGGATGAAAACGCAATTTTAAATGCATGGTTATGTTGTCCCTGTGTGTGCGTATATATAATGCAAAGCCCCCGAGGAAAAACACTGTCTACACCTCACGCCTCCACAGCAATGCTGTCCCAAACTGTAGCGTATTTTGGAATAATGATGTAAAGGTCGGTGCAATGTGATGTGAGCCCCCAGTAGTGGTAACTCCAATGTGAGCCCCCAGTAGTGGTAACTCCAATGTGAGCCCCCAGTAGTGGTAACTCCAATGTGAGCCCCCAGTAGTGGTAACTTCAATGTGAACCCCCAGTAGTGGTAACTCCAATGTGAGCCCCCAGTAATGGTAACTTCAATGTGAGCCCCCAGTAATGGTAACTCCAATGTGAGTCCCCAGTAGTGAAAACTTCAATGTGAGCCACCAGTAATGATAACTCCAATGTGAGCCACTAGCAATGGTAACTCAAATGTGAACCCCCAGCAATGGTAACTTCAATGTGAGTCACTAGTAGTGGTAACTTCAATGTGAGCCACTAGTAGTGGTAACTCCTATGTGAGCCACTAGCAATGGTAACTCCAATGGTGGGGGTGGGGGCAGGGGGAAGAAAAAACAAAATGTTAGGCAAGAGATTTAGACATCCGTGGACCGAAGCATGACATTATGATTCATGTTAAAGTGTTTTTGGGTTAGATAGCGTAAATTTAAATGTGTATTAAACCCACCTCCCTCGGACATGGACAATCAGTGAGGTTGCCTCCCTTGGTATACGGGAGGTCGTGGGTCCGATCCCGACCCTTATGCCTGTTGTATATTTCGAATACGCGTGTCTCTGTCTTTCTCTCTGTCTCTACCCGTGGTCGCGTGGTTTTTTCTCCGGGTCCTCCGGTTTTCCCCTCCACATTTAGAATCACCGTGCGTTTGGAGTATCTGGCTGCTATAAATGTCCACGCGATAAGCCACTTCGTTCAGCTATCATTTGCGGTGGCCAGGTCGCTTCTGAAAAAGAGATCAATAGATCAGTAGAACCTTACCTGGTAAAATAAAAACAAATAGTTTAGTTTATAGGTTGGCCACGTGGAACAAAACCTGCCAATTAGTTACCGCTTCAGCACACCGGTGTGTTGGAGAGCACAACCCACACGTTTGTTCCACGTGACACACCTTACTGATAGGCTGTGCCGCGGGGTGAGGGGGGGTTTACGAAACCATTTCCATTGACACGATCTAACCCAATTTCATTGTTATGATTGAAAAGTGGTCGTGAAAGGCCTACGTGTTGAAAGTTGCATGGCGTTATGAGTCGATGGGCAAAACAAGATCAAAACAAGATCAAAACAAGATCAAAACCTTTGATCTTGTTGGGAGAGGGTCAGTAAATGAGCCGCAAAACAGTCGCCATGAGCGGGCGCGCCGTCGTGGGTTCAAGCCATTCAAGGTGGATTTGCGCATCGCACAGACAAAGCTCAACGCAGCAGCAGCAGCATGCATACCTAGGCTTGTCTTAAGGTCACTTGGGAGACTTAATTTCCGGTGTCTTTTAACTGAAATAATAAACAAAACACAGGAAACAAATTCAGTCGACGAGACATTACGACGAAGAGAACAAAAAAAATCCGAGACAGAAATCATGATTATAAATAACAGCAATCATAATATATCTTTCGGAGAAAAAAACGCGACAATTTATCTTGAAAAAATAATAATCATGAAAACCCATCGAAGCCGGACCCGAGAAAAGCCACAAGGCTGCAGTAAAATGAAAAATATAACTTAAAAAATAAACAATAAAAAAGTTCCCACGGGTGCAACTGTCCATGCACTTATCGAGGGGTAAGTCGTAGGAGACTGCCCTTATCTGTCGTATGGAACTTCAGTAAAGGTAAGGATTCACACTATTTGTTTTTTTCGGTAAAGTCACGTAGGTAAAAAATAAAATAAAATAACACAAGCTTCCGAAAGCTTGTGTTGCCTCCAAAACGTCGTGATTTTATTTATTTGTTTTCATTTATTTTATTTTATTTTCAGTAAAGTTGTTCAATTGGATGCTGCGCTCATCAGCGAGGCCTGTGCATTTTCTCTCTTCTCTTTCTCGCAATTTTCAATCAACATCTACTTTACATTTATCCCGCAAATCGGTACGATCGCATGCCTCGCTCCCATCAGAGGCATAGCTCTGCAACCTTCCGCACCCGATGGGAGCGGCAAACGTCTGCTTCACGGTAACATCGACTCGCGTTAAACTGAACAATGGATATTTTTCTTTTTGCATGTTATGAAATTGTTTAGTGAACTTGTATCGTCAGACAAACGACTTAGTAGTTTACAACAATTAATTAACAAATAAATGTATTGATTGGTTACTTATGAATGAATTGCAGTGTCGCGGATATCCCCCATAAACGGAACGTCCCTCCCAAATTATCCGACGTCGGAGTTTACAATTAATTAAATAATTATAAATTAAGTGATTCGTTACTTGATTAATTCATTGACTGAATCATTGCAGTGTCGCAGTTACCCCACCCACAAAGCGGAAACAATCTCTCGCTCCCAATCAGTCCGGCTTTGAGAGGCTTTACCGTAAACAACAACAATAACAACAACATTCATAACAACTTGGAGCGGAAACGAAACGGCACACGGCCCACCACAAAAACGCCCGTGCGCTCGACAGGACGGCAAGCCGAGCTGGGAACAAAGGGGCGGACGGACAAACAGCGACACGACATCACGCCTCGTTACAGCATGCAACACGAGGCCGGGGGAGAGGGACGTGGTAGGGGGGCAATCACTGGACAATCGGTGCGTAAATTGAACATTTAGCAGCAGCCGCCGGTGTTATAAGCAGACACGCGCGGGGCAATTTAGAGCTGTGCGCAAACACACACACACAGCACATTTTTTTAACGAAGACGGACATTTGACAAAAAAAATTAACAACTAACAAAACAATGGTTATATTCGTGGCATCGAGTGTTCGTTGCAGCCCCCGCGGCTGATGCCCGCGATGATTGTGCATTGGCGATGGCGACGGAGGCTGACCACCTCTGAGATTCACCCCTCTTGCAGAGAGAGAGAGAGGAACGCTGGACAGACGGTTCTTGTAACAGACGGGGAGTGGCCACGCTTTACCCCACCGCACACGTGGCCTTTACGATCAACTGACCGCGCTGTAACCCATTAGAGATGCTGGCTGAACAGAGGCAGTGGCGGGCGGGGGGGGGGGGGAGATTTGAGAACCTTGCACAATTGTTTTCAACCTCCCAAGCCGGAAGATCGAACCAAACCAGCGACCTCCGGATTGCAAATCCATGACATCGTGGCAGCATCCCACCAAAGAATCGGTATCATCTACCATAAATGTCGGGGGGGGGGGGGGGGGGGGACACAGAAGCGGTGGCGTGGCTGGCTCCCTGAACACTTGGTCGGCGAAATCACTGAATCTGGTCTTCATGCCTTCAAATGCCGAGCGGCACATGGACATATCCTAATGCCACCACACGCGTATGTAGGACTACTGAGGCTTTGAGCTGCAGTGAACAAATTATTATGCCGAATTTGATGTACTCACGTCTGATATGGCTGTTCGCAATTGCACCCAATAAAAATAATGGCACCACTCCAATGGGGCCTCCCTCCTCTTCGCTCTGTGCCTGGGCCTCTCTCAGGGGCTGTGGGACCCACTGTGCAGTTGCACCGCCTGCACACACTCGTCAGCTACGCGATTGGAGACGTGAAGCCTAAGTCGCGGACAAAAATCCATCTCACTGCTTGTACGCGAGCTCCGTTCATATTCACTTTAAGATGTTTTTTGTTCATGTTTTTGTTTTTTGTTTGTTGCGGTTGCACCCGATTCAAGAGCCGAATGGCTCACAGGGCTATACCTAATAAATAAGCTTGAACTTGAACCCACTGTGTGATTGCTGCTGTTGTCGAAACGTGCGGTGCACGTGACCACGCGACGTTGCATCTGCGGCCACAAACATCGCTCCGATGGTGTCCGTGCGTTCAATCCCATTTTTGTTCGGCGTTACAAAACGCCGAGCTTGTAATGAGACATCAAAAGCCCTCTTTCATCCGCGCAATCCGACACGAAAATTATTTCCTTTGGAATTTCACTCGTTAGATGGCCCAGCGAAGTTAATCACATTCACGATCAAACATTTTAAAGGGCACTTACTGGGTCACGGTAAAGCCGGTGGGGAAATGTTTATCGCGAGCCAATTTCGCCGAGAGTGAGTCTATCGCCAAATTCTCTTTGAGTTTCAACAAATGCGACCGGGAGCTTGATCACAAAATTACATCCCTATTTAATCAGGGTGGAGGGGGGGGGAGTTATAAAATATGTGGGTGACACACAGCTTGATGTATCGGGCTACCTGTAACTTCGGTTGCAACGTTCACCTTGAATACGTCTTAATCATTGTTGTGAATTAATTAAAATTGGGAGGTTTTAAAATATATATCCATAAAAAAATGACATCCACTTCAGAGATGAGGCTGTCGACCAAGACACGTGCCAGCGATCACACTGCAATGACGCCATCTAGGTCGGGGCTGATCATTGGCGGAACCCGGCAATGCACGTACGTACATTGAACAGTCTGTGAAGGCTACGTGGGGGATCTTTGCCTTGCAAGTATGTTGAACTTCTTACGCACCGTACGTTCGTAGCGAACCGCGCTAATCGGAGCTGCGGCGTAGGGGGGTAGGGACGGAAAAACTGAATTCACAAAAAAAAGCAGAGATGCAAGGAGGAGGCACTAGAGGAACGTGCGAATGGAGTGGCAGAGAAGAGGCGAGTGAGGTGGACGAGAGGAAGCAATGTGGGGGTGGGAGGGGGGGCACATCTGTGATGCACGAATTCGGTGAAAGCGAAATTGACGACATTGAATGACGAACGCATAGAATGAATGTGGTTGACGAGTGACAGCCATGCAATGAGAATACGAAAAGGGAACAGTAGCGGTGGCGGTCATGAGGAGGGGGAGATGACGCGGTCGTGGGGTGACCTCGAGGTAACAATAAGTGTGAGTTCTGAGCGAGGAGCCGAAACTTCGTGAGCAAAGGTGACCGCTTCATGTGGAGGGGGAAGTTTGCTCCGAAGAGAGAGAGAGAGTGTGTGTCCCACCTGGTCGACATTTCCAGGGCCGGGTAAACCAAAGGGCTCAGGTGAGTGTGTGTGTGTTTGGGTTTTATGTGGGGGAGCGGTGGTGCAGCGGTTAGCGCTACGCTGCGCTACGAACCCGGCGACCCGAGTTCGATTCCCGCTCACGGCCAACAACGGTGATGATTATTTGAACCGGTCCTGGGCCTCCCCTAGGTCGACTCGGCTTCAAATGAGCACGCGGTGTATTGTGTTTACATCGCCACTAGGGAGACAAAGGCGGTCGGGCGTGGTGCTGGCCACCCCCTCGTGTACCATTCCGGCCTTCATAGGTGTTACTTGCTAACAGCACTTGCCCCAACAGTCTGTTAAGGCTATACGGGGGATCTTTATCCTTTTTGCTTGTGTTCTATGCAAGGAGCTTGCATCGCGTCCTTACGATATTACAAGAGGCAATGTCAGTGGAAAACTTAAGTCGATCTGAACGCAATTAAGAACACGCCATGTCATTAACTTTATTTTCAAAGTAAAATTCTGGGGAAATGTTTGTTCTCAACAAATTATGCGTAATTGTTGATGTGGCGACTAATAGTGCTTGTTATGTAACGCATGTGTACCCAAGCTTTGCGTTGTCTCTCTGCATCAAACGAACTGTCAGCTCCACGAATAGTTGGCTTCCACTTGCACGCATCCAAAAACAGCATTTATAACAAATTAATAAAAAAAAACTTTCTTTCGTTTGATGAAAGGGAGTGGATAAACCACACGCGTATGCACGTACAGACACACTCGCGCGTGCAAAAATAAAACGTCCCCAGCGCAGCCCGCATAGACTATTGGGGCGAGCGCCGGTAGCTACCGCCCGCCTCCGATAGCCGGCACGGCGCACGAGAGGGGGGCGGTGAGGTGGGTCCTTAAACAAAAGGGCATCTGCCACATTCATTAAAGCGCCTCCCTTGTGAGTGGCTATTCATGCCCAACCAATAAAACTCGACGTCTTGCTGGTGAGGGCCACCTCCTGAGGATGGACGATTAGCAAAGTCTCCACGGGGGTGCAATCAAGCCGGGCGAGGCCACGGCTGGGTGCTCGGTCATCCCACCGTCAGGGTTGCCACCTGTCCGGGAATTGGCACACTCCAGGAATTGGCTTTTGCGGTGTCCGGGTGCCAGCTGGAGTTTATTTGTTGACCGAGTTCTAGTACCGGTGTCGTGCTGAATTTAATTCAAATATTTCTGAGCCGTTTTGACGATAGGCCAAGAACCCAGTCCAACTGAGAAACATGTTTGGCCTATCTGACGCCCACCCAGACTCTCAAAACGTCTGGGTATGCAGTTGCATACCAGGGCAGGCAAGGTCCTTCTTGTACAGCAGAGAGCTCCAGCAGGAGGCGATGATCCTATTTCCTGCCAGCGAGACATCGGCCCTCTCCGTGT